GTGTTCCTATGAGACTATGTAGAATAAATGCAGAATAAATGACCACTAGAGCACGATTAATTTTGACTGGACAATTTTTTTTATAACTTTTTTGAATGAAAACACAAAATGTCACATGCAAAACATGTAAGGTGTAGATGTTTGAAGTTTACAGTTTGGGACAACAATTTTTTTATACATTCTGTATGGTAACATAACTGTACCTCAAAAAAAGACTATAAGTCAAACCTTGTAAAAATATGAAAAGTAGGCCAGTTGATGTTAAAATTCAATTCAGCATCAGAAATTACACCCCTTAGTCCAAAATTCAAGTTTGTATGTCAAAAAACACAAGAATGAAGGTCAAATTATATCAAAAATATCAAAAGTAGGTCAGTTGATATCAAAATTCATTTCGGCATCAGAATTTACAAACCTGGTCCAAATTTACAATCTGAATGTCAAAATACAAGAAAGTAGGTCAAATGGTGTCAATAATATCTAAAGTAGGTCAGCTGGTATCAAAATTGAATTCAACATCAAAAATTACACAAATTACACCCCTGGTCCAAATTTCAAGTCTGTACATAAAAGACAAAAAAAGTAGGTAAAGTGATATCAAATATATCAAAAGTAGGCCAGTTCATATCAAAATTCAATTCAGGATCAGAAATTAAACCCCTTGTCCAAATTTCCAGCAGGTACATCAAAAAACGACAAACTAGGTCAAACAATATCAAATAATAATATCAAAAGTAGTCAGTTGATATCTTAATTCAATTCGCATCAGAAATTACATTCCTGGTCCAAATTTTAAGTCTCTGTACATCAAAAACAAGAAAGTATGTGCAATGGTTTCAAAAATATCAAAAACAGCTCAACTGATGCCAAAATTCAATTATGCACATGAAACTCAGGTTCAACAGTATGTCCCAAAATTTATTGAAATGTGCTTTCTCCAAGTTTAAATCCAATTCAACAAAAAATGAAAAAAAAATACAATTTTTAACAAAATTCAATAAAAAAATTGAGCATACAAACTCATCTTTGTTAGTATACAGAAACAAATGTAATGTTTCTTTAGGCCTAATTTTTTTCCTGGTTAATGACCTACAACTGACCTTACAATGATGCAATATGATGTCCGAATTCTAGAGCTGAAAGATATTTACACATCATAAACAGGTCATGACATTAAGACTTTCTCCAAGCCATTGAATCTCTTTTGGAAAAATTGCATAACATATGTACACATTCCAACATGAGTTGTTTCCCTTTCATTATGAAAAGATATCCTATGCCCATCTTTGAGTCATAGAAATTTATTGAAATTTATGAAATTCTTACTGAAAATGTCTAATTTGGATAAAAGAATGAATAAACTATGTATGGGAAGCTGCATATCCTATTATAGGCCAAGTAAAGTTGGTCTTTTCTATATAAAAAAAAACAGTTTTTTTTAATGACACTATCATTATATTTATACTGTGACCACCTATAGTGTGAAGAGTTTAAAACATAACATATCTACTTTGTGTGAAGTCAAAACACGTTTATTTTATATTTATAAAGAGACTGTGTATCCATTGTCAATATTTTCTAATATTAAATTTGAGCATAGAATATCTTTAAACTATAATTTGAAGAAATGCCATGACCTGGGGCATTTAAGCTTTAGCTTAAACAGGGCCAATCAAATTAATATGAGCAAACTTGATAAAAGACTACCTAAGAATGCTACAGACAAAGTTTGGTGATCATCCATCAAATATTTCAGTAGGAGATGATGTTCAAAGGTTTTTCTATTTTTAGCTTTAGCGGCCCCTAAAAGGGGCCAATCAAATTAATATGAGCAAACTTGATAAAAGACTACCTAAGAATGCTACAGACAAAGTTTGGTGATCATCCATCAAATATTTCAGTAGGAGATGATGTTTAAAGGTTTTTCTATTTTTAGCTCTGTTGACCCCTAAAAGGGGCCAATTGAAATGACATGAGCAAAATTTAAGTGTGACTGTCACAAAGATGCTACAGACCAAATTTTAGGTAAATCTGCCCATCAGTTTCAGAGAAGAAGACGATTGTTGACGCATGACGATGGACGCCGGAGTATCCCCCTTTGATACTAATAGCTCACCTTGAGCCTTCGGCTCTGGTGAGTTAAAAAGCCAAATTAGGCGGCAGTAAAATTTTGATTGTTTGTCATGATAAGAATTACATGCAAGAAAAATATCATGTATTCTGACAGCATTTTAACAAAAGCAGTAAATGAAGAAGCGTCTTAATTTTGTCTTATTTTGTGAGTTTCATTTTAAAATGAAATAAAAATTCCTGATCATAACATTTAACCTTTACAATGGAAAAAGACATTTACAATAATGTATGTTATCTATGACAGGTATCATCACTAAGGGATAATCACAAAACGTTAGTACCTACTTCAGTTTTTCAAATCAATTGTTTATTTAGAACATGGATTTTTATTGCTATAAGTTTAATCAAATCCATTAATTAAATAATTATCATTTATATTATTGTAACACATAGCCATGACAGATGACTGCCTGAAAATTACAGACCTTAAATATCAAAGATATAATCAATATAAGGTGTCATAAATGGGACTTATGAAATATCAAAACCTGCAAGGTGTAATACTGTGTAAAAATCACATACAAAATGGAAGCTTGGCTGCGATATCATATATTTATAAACTATGTGACATGTACTGCTGTGATCTGTATTTTGTCATAATATCATATGGTTCCAGTAACAATTTTTATTGTCACATTTACACGGTAATGGTCATATAGCAACATACTAGCTTTACTTGTGGAGGAATTCTTGACAATTATCATATACACTTATTAGCCATAAAAGTGAATATATTAAATATGAAATAACATGTATATAAATCATTTTTTCAAAGACTTTGTCAGCTACAAAAAACCCAAGTAATTTATCTACACGGAGGGAAAGATAAGTTGTCCAATGAAACATGTGAGTAATGTATAAAATTCAAACTTAGCAAAGTGATAATTGCTGCTCTTTGTGAATTGACAGTATAATTTTATGTACATTATATATAAATGTACATGTACAATAAAATTGTTAAAACTTTGCATAATCTGTTATGAGAGTACATGTATAGGTATAATCTGAAAGACTTGATTCTTGTATGTTAAATAATACACAACATGACTGTTAAGAGTGCAAATATGAAGTAAATAGCCAATTCAACTATATCTCCCTTCACCATAAATCAAATAGAATCAAATATAGTTAGCAAATTAATTTTAAAACAATTATCTGAATTTTCTAACAATTATCTGAATTGACAGTGAAGACATATTTACAGGGCTACAGAACATCAGTAAAGCAATAAAAAATTAAGTATATTGTATTTCACTTCAAATGTGAAACAATAATCTTTAACTTTGCACTGGTGTGGTACGATGATGCATGGTTTGGGCTTGAACTTAAAATCCCCTGGTTGAAAGAAAGACACTATATAACTTTAAATGAAAATATTAAACATATGTAACAATTTACTCAAACTCGTTTACCACTATTCTTTATACAAATGGCACAAAACTTGCTGGATATGCATCAAAGACATGATTTCTTCCTCAGGCATGAAAATATGCATCAAGAAACATAGAAATGCCATGAACCCAGGTTTTGAACATGAAAGCATTATTCTAATTTTGGTAAGAGTAACCCTAACCTTGACCCGAGGAAGCCTAAAAGCAATTCAAAGCGAGGTCTCCACATAAACTTGCTATATACCAAATCAGATTACAATAATTTGTTCCAAACTTTATTAATCAGATAGAAACTGTTTCACGCCTGCCAAAATATCTGACTACACGTGATTCTCCAATCTAATAACTAGTATTTTCAAAATTGAAAACCTGGTTAATAAACATAAATATATCTGAGATCTGGACAAAACTTCAAGTAAAGTTCTAAGCATATGCTACTCAAAATAATTAATATGATTAAAAGATATGTTTATTTATATAGAAAAATAAATCTGAAGCATATAAATTTTACAATGATACAAAATAAGGAAGAATACAAAATAAGTAGACATAACAAGAGCTGTCGGTAGGACAGCATGCTCGACTATTCTTAGTGCTTGATAGTAAAAAAAATGCCTGATACAGTTACCTCCTCCTGTTTACAGGTTGGGGTCATGATGGTGAACAAGTGTGCAAAGTTTCAAAGCCATATGTCAATGGACTTTGAAAATATTTGAACTATTACAAAAACTTTAACGTAAATTCTAAGTCGAAAAAGGGGCATAATTCTGTCAAAATGCTTGATAGAGTTACCTCCTCCTGTTTACAGGTTGGGGTCATGATGTTGAACAAGTATGCAAAGTTTCAAAGCCATATGTCAATGGACTTTGAAAATATTTGAACTATTACAAAAACTTTAACGTAAATTCTAAGTCGAAAAAGGGGCATAATTCTGTCAAAATGCTTAATAGAGTTACCTCCTGCTGTCTACAGGTTGGGGTCATGATGTTGAACAAGTGTGCAAAGTTTCAAAGCCATATGTCTATGGACTTTGAAAATATTTGAACTATTACAAAAACTTTAACGTAAATTCTAAGTCGAAAAAGGGGCATAATTCTGTCAAAATGCTTGATAGAGTTACCTCCTCCTGTCTACAGGTTGGGGTCATGATGGTGAACAAGTGTGCAAAGTTTCAAAGCCATATGTCAATGGACTTTGAAAATATTTGAACTATTACAAAAACTTTAACGTAAATTCTAAGTCGAAAAAGGGGCATAATTCTGTCAAAATGCTTGATAGAGTTACCTCCTCCTGTCTACAGGTTGGGGTCATGATGGTGAACAAGTGTGCAAAGTTTCAAAGCCATATGTCAATGGACTTTGAAAATATTTGAACTATTACAAAAACTTTAACATAAGTGGTTACGCCGACGCCGACGCCGACGCTCGGGTGACTGCAATAGCTCTACTTATTCTTATCGAATAGTCGAGCTAATAAAAAATATGCTCCCATTTACCAGAAGGGTGGAAGACATTGAAAATACTATTCTCTAAAGTTAAAACAGCATATAAGCATAGAAATATGAATACACATTAGAAACACTCCAAACATCAATGTATATGTTCTTCTTGTGGTAAAACTAAGTTTCTCACATATCTTTCCTACATATAAAAGCTAATTCATCATATTGACCTGTTAATTCATCAATAAGAAGCGTAACTGCATAACATACATAAGCAAAATAAAGGGTTGCATACAAAAATTAGTTTGACATTTTCTCGTAACATCAGATGCCTGCAGCTGATGTAATATCTAAAGTTTTAAAGTAATGACATATCTGCTATGATCTATATCTTATTTCTATCAATGAAAATAACCAATGTCCTTCTAGATCAATGAATACATATATACTTTATGCCAGCATTTCATGCAAACATCTATTAAAAATTCAAAAATGTAATGTTAACAAAACTACTTTGGGATAAAAAGATTATGCTGTTTTCCTTGACTATATGTTAAAGCTTAAATGGACATTTTTAGCAATGAAATGCTGTGTTTTGAACATGAACATATGAGTGAATCATTTCTATAATTTCTAATATATCATTCTGACAATTGGTAACCAGCCATATAACATGTACAAAAATATTCTACAACAAAACTTCAAAAATCTATAACAGATAAAAAATAAAATAAACTCTGTAAAGGTATGGTATCCATACATCTATTGTTTTTTCACATGATCTACAGAGATACGTTTGAGAAGAAGGTAGGGCAGGCAGAGGAAAACTCCACCTGTTATATAACACACGGTAGCTCCACAACTCCAGTACACTGAAATATAATAGTGAGATTTAAACCCTATGCCATCAACATAAAACAGTTAATCAATTACAGTATGCAAAAACAAAACCGTTTTGTAAAAACAACATTGAGACCAGTTCTGAACAAATGGTCAAGAACCACTTTCCCTAGCACAAAACAATGAAGTACAGAATTAATCAATAACATTCATAATGCAAAAACATCTTTACCTTTATATTTTAAAGCCAGAAACTTTTTAACACAATGTGCATTCAAATCAAAATTTTCTAGTACTCATTCTTTAAATTTTCGACTCACTAGTTTGTGGTACTTGTACAAAACAATGACAGTACATTCAGCCTGATACTACTGAGCAAATTCAATACAGACTTTAATTTGGTAATTTAAGTCTATGAAGATGCCTGTATCCTTAATATCATAACAAGTAACCTCAAAATAAGCTTTGCAATCATTAACACTAAATTACATATTAAACAAGTATCTTCAACATTTATGCAGTGTAAATCTTTAATACATCATCTGAGGATAAATTCAATATGTAATAGATAATAAATTATTTTACTTACTTGTTGATGCAAAAACTGGACCTAGTGCTCTAGCTAGGGCACCTAATGATCTAAATATACCCATTATAGTGCCCTTCTGGTCATTACCTCCATATAGTGATATCATAGTGGTCAAACATGGTACAACAGTAGCTGATGCTGAAATATGTATCATAATAACAAATACAAAATGATGAATAAATAAGTTTGCCATTTGAATTACGTTTGTTGCACAGCAATGTTTTAGACCAAAACAAGAATTAAAAGAAAACCCAAACTTAAACATGACTAGTGACACACTTCCAGGGCTCTCGGAAACGCTTATTTGAGCGTATTTTTACGCATACTTTTTGCAAAAGGACGCTTAAAATATCCAATCGTCAGTCCCTTGTACGCATAAAAATTCCAAATCCGCGTGTCACTGCGTCCTTCTAATATGCAATACACAGCGGCTAATGTGTAAATTTTAAGGCGGGGCTTTACGCTTGTCAACTGCAATGCATCATCAGCCAATCAGGACGCAAGTTTTTCCAATAATCTAATTGATTGCAGCTGAGGTCGCGTGTTTATGATGTTTCGGCATGCGACAAACACGGCATAGTCAATCAGTGGAAATTGCGGTGTTGATTTTATTGACCGTTTGAAGTCATATGTGCTGATTCTTAATAATTGATTGTTTGACGGATAATTGACGGATAATTGATGGGGACTTGTGCATGCGTTTTTCACAGGTGTCTCGCGTAAAAGACTAATTAATGCTACTCGATTTTTAATTGCTTTTAATTATTTTAACAATGGATACGTTTACCGATATAAATGTTGGTCAACAGATCGTGGACATGTTATTTGACAGTAAATGTTTATTAAATAACTTTGGTGTTATAAATGATTGTGGATAAAGAAAAGACACAGTAAAGATAAAGATATTTTTATTAAGTGTGTGTGTAAACTTATAGCATTAAGCTGAATGTTTTTCTTGATTCTACAATATCACACACCAACACAATTTCCCAATGCACAACACCAATATCGCACTTTTAAAAGCTACATGTACCAGAAGCTCTTAAATTAGGTCCAGGACATATTACCTCGAGCACATAAGGTAGATAATAAACTGTTAGGTAACCACTCATATTGAAAATTCTATCTTTCATAGCAGAAACAAATTTGGACCTTCAAACCTTTAAAAGATATTCTTCAATAATTAAAAGATAATTATCCCTTGTAGGAAAGATTTATCACTTGTTTTTCAATAGAATTTCTTACATTTTCTTAAATGTTTAGCTTGGTTGTAATTTACATCAACACCTTTTTTTGTCTAAATTGTTATAAGAATTACCCTGTTTGTAATTATTCCGTCACCAGAAAACACTATGGTACATGGTGGAATGACCGACTCTCAGTTAGTTTGATAGGGTATAGCTACTCAATGGCCATACTTTATACATAAGATTTTTTATTTTTAAGTAAAACAGCCTGTTATACAAATTGATAGCCATAACATTTCAGTAGCATTGCTTTTAAAGAAAAATATTGTCACAGGGTACTTACCAAATGAGAAAAGAGCTAGTGATAAATATATCCAGACAGCAGAGTAAGCAAATGCCATGATTATAAATGATGGTACGAGGATGAGAATACCCTGTGCTGCCATCTTAACTTCCTTCCCAGCAGATGCTCTACGAGTATAACCACCTAAACCAGATAAAATGTAAACTTAGATAATAACTGTCCTTCACAAACAATGCCTATTACTATCACAGATGAGAAAAATCTGTGTCTGATAACAATTTGTAATTGTCTTGAAAGTCTTAATAGCCTATTTCTGACATTCAAACATAATATGATGTATATGTTTTGTATGGACGTGACTTTAATAAAGATTATATATATTTCTTTGCTCAAAATGATAAAAATGAATATAAATGAATATAATTATCTAAAAAAGAAAGAAGCATAAATACCCCTTAAATACCTGCTACAAATGAAATCTCAATAAATTTAATTCACAGTTTTGCTTTGAGTTTCAGTTTAATGAAAATGTAAACTGATTTGCATTTCAGTACTTAAATTACTAGATTATATCCCTGAGTTGTAATTGTCACTAATTTATTTATCTATTTGTTTATCTATAATTAGGCAAATCATTATGTCAAACAAAATACCCAGTGTAAACAGCAGTTATGTAAGAGAAATGACTGTTAGACTCTATAACCGTGTGCAACAGTCATTGAGAAAGTTCACCATGCCCGCCACCCATGGATTACACATTGAATGTTATCCGTATTGAGCTAAACAGAAGGATATAAATATCATACCTTGTACAGCAGCCATTATAAATCCAATAAAGAAAAACATCTTTCCTTGCTGCATACTGTAAAACATATCATGAGAGAGTGTAAAACATCTTTTTAAAACAAATTTCATCTGATTATAAAACAGCTTTATAAATAAATATCATCTTTTTAGTTTGGTTTTATCTTGAATTAATATAATATTACCAGTATTCCATATATCATGTTATCTTTGAAACAAACTGATTAAAATCATCTCCTAACTAATGCTATGCATAAGGATCTGATCACCACCAATAGGTTGTCATGTTCTCGTGACCAATCATTGGCAAGCTTTCACAATTCTAAACATGATGCTGTCTCTAAATTCAATCGTTGGAAAACTGATACCAAGTAGGTAAATTTCACGATTTTGAGAACTAACATTGTGTTGTCCATACTGCCAGCAGGGACACTGGCAAAACAATCTTGCCAATAAAAAATTTAGTCTATTATTTCCAGTTTATTTGTTTCAAATTACTTCAAACATTTTTTTCCCAACAAAAATCGACAATTTATTCTACTTCCGTGGACAGCAATATTTTGCTACTTCATCTATTGCCTATCTGTAAAGGACAGTTTGACTGCATGGCTAAAAATAGTTTCTCATCATAATGAAGGCAAAATATATATACAGTATGTGGCAATCATAATTATATACATGTAAGAAATAAGTAGATCTGAACTTTAGTCAGATTATCTTTAAAATTACATTAATACATACCATGTTATCTTAAATACAATATGAATTCATATATTATATATTATACCTTGAATTACCAATGTGTACCATAAAATTAACTTGAATATAATATGAATTTCTATCAAAATATTATCTTTAATAAGTTATAAATCTATATCACAATGAAAAAATTTATTTTAAAGAATAAGAAAAATAAGTTGCGCGACACATTCAAGACAATTTAAAAAATTTTACATCTGATTTTTCATTTATGATACAAACTTTCTTCATAGTAACCTTCAAACATTTTTTATGCTCAGCGGCCCTCAACACTTTACCATGGAGGCCCTGCTGCCTATGAAACATGATGTCTGAGTAAATGTTAAACATAAGGAAATAACTTTACCTGTCATAATTTAGCCTGTTATGGGTCAGGAAGGTCAAGGTGAACTCCAAACCAGAGTAGAAAAACAGGTAGAGAAAATACACAACCCCATACTTCCTTATATCTGACATATCTATAAATAGAATGTAACAATTCATACATGTCATCATTTTTTTTCTTTTTCGTGAGATCAAAATTTAAAGATCATTACTTATACTGAATAGAATGTTAACTGAACTCAAAATTTTTAGATATATCTGTCTGAAGGCTGATAAGATCAAAAATTTTCTGTAAGGAAAATATTAAGTTATGGCCACATAATTGATAAATATATTTTGCCTTTTTCAAACGGAATGTAAGATTTCCTGCCCTTTAAAAATGTGTTGAGCATCTCTTGCTTTTTCCCCCACGGGAATGTTTAAAACACGGATATATCAACATAAATCCCCTTTTGGACAGTTTGCCATTGTTGTCAGATATCTAAACAAGGAATGAACAAAAGACTACAAAAGACTTCTTGATTCAAAGTATATATTTTTTTAAATATTCAATGTATGATGCAGTTTGTTTTTATTTGGGGACCCTACAGCTTTACCAATTGGGGAGCTCAAATACTACATCTAAATATATTAATAATTTTTTGGGGTTGGGTTTAATGTTGCACCAACATAGTATAGGTCATATGATGACTTTCCAGCTATACTGGTGGAGGAATACCTCGGGTCCCCCTCTGTATATGATTTCAGGTACAAACGGGCATCTGAGTAGAGCAAGCGATTTAAAGTATGAAACTTAATCAATGAAGCTCTATGTAATCCTTATATGCCATTAGTCTTTTATTAAAATGATAAAACTAAAACACATGTTCATTGGAGCATATCAGGAAAAATACATTGTGTGTTCAAATTTGGGCAATTCTTGTAACATACCTTTTGTAGACATATTTGTAACAGATGAAAATTTAAATAATGACACTGGGTTGATGAGGTATGAAGTATTCTTCCAGCCAGATGATATAGACTTGGCCTAAAATATAAATTAAATCAAACGTTTATTCTTTTCTTTTGCATTATATGTTGAATTTTAAGTCATACTTTCAACATCATATGTACAACTTTCAAACTTTAGGAGCACACCCCTCTGTGTATTATTTTAGGCACAAGTGTGATCATTAATGCAGAACCACCAACCTTTCCATAAGTCAGTGGACAGCAAGCTCACATTTAAAATTAAATATAAGTCATCTTAAATGTCCAGATATTGACATAGTATGTATATTTTCTACTGCAGTTTTCTCTACACAAATAATAGTTGATTTCAATAGTTTTTTTTAAATGAACATATTACACATTTAACACACACATTATAAAACAGAAAAAACAACAACAAAACAACTTAATTTGTGAACCTACCCTTTTAGTTTGAGGTAATGTTTCCTTGAATAAGACAGCTATATATATGACATCTATCACAGACAAGACAAGGGCAAATAATGCTGGATACACGTAAAACTCGCCTTGTTGCTCCCGAGCCCAGCGGGAAAATATAGCACCAATCAGTGGACCAAACACAAAACCTATAGAAAACGCCACTCCTATCAGAGCCTGAAATATAATCAAAATTATGGAATTAATTTTTTTTAAATTGTTCCAAGGTTTAAATACTTCTCAAGTCTCTGTTATATATGAGTGCCAATATTACACAATAAATATTGAAAATAAACTGCTTTTTGGATATTTTCTTTTTTTTTCAATTTCAAATTATCAAATGCATAGTATAATTTAGACCTTTCCAAGTGATAAGTAAAGGATACTGTAAGTTGCAAAACTTAATAATGAGCTAATAAAGAAGTAATCCTAAATTATTTTTTCATTCTTCAATAATTGAATTATCAGATTTTTCCATTGAACTTCATGATACCTATTGTCATTTGATTACATAAATAAACACATCTCACCATGCCTTTTCCACGTCTCTGTGCTGGTAGAATATCAGCTACTATTGTTGTACTCAGACTTATATTTCCTTTACTTATTCCTCCAACAAATCTAGCTATCACAAATAAACCAAAATTCCTCGAGACCGCCCACAAAGCATAGGAAAATGCAACACCTACCTGAAAATGTTAAACATGAAGTTTAGAAAAATGTATACTGACCTAAATAGAGAATGTACAGCCTTTTGAGGCTGACACACAGCAAATTTTTTATCTTAACCATGAAATGATAAAAACAGAGGTATGTTATAGGTATACTATAAGGTTATTATGTTTACACATCTATGCTTTCTGAGCAGACCCTAGGTTGTTTTGCTTATTTTATTATGTTTATATCAAAACTTCTGAAACTACTACGGATACTCCTAACATGAATTAAGTTCATTACAAAAATTCAAAAGTTTTGGGTAAAGTATACATTTTCAACAAATCTGAGGGAGTGATTTGCTTGACCTTGATAACATACTTGTATACATGAATGATTCTTTAAATAAGTTTTCTTAATTGTCTCTAATTAATTATCAGATTAAAAGCTATAAGAAGGATAGCATGCTTAACAATTTCAATTGTTTGATAATATAACAAGAGCCGGAAAAAAGTAGGAATCAACAAAGAGGAATACTTCATTGGAAATACATGTATATGTCATAATAGTAAGTTATGTATTTTAAATATTGAAGACAGAATTTTGTTCATAAAGGACCATATTTCATTCAAGATACATGCCCGTGCAACAGCTTTTAAAAAGTGACATTTAATTATAAAGTTTCAAGTGAATCCTATCAGTTGTTTTGAAGCTTTATGTTGCAGACCAAGATTTATATTTAGTTTTGAAAGGGACCTAAATAGATCTAAAAAAATATTCCATGCCAGAGTTATCGGACTTAAATGGTGACCTCAAATCATGTTTCCAAAGACATTAATTTAGTTTCAGTTGAATACCTTCAGAAGTTTTAAAGATTGATGCTAAATGCACAACTTATATCAAGCTCAGAAAGGGACATAATTCAGTCTAAATCTCTACCAGAGTTATTGATTATGATCCCAAAGACATGGGTGAAATTGTAAGCAAATACAATGTATCTTTAGTGATTGCTGAGATATGTACAAGAAGTTGCTCAGAAAAGTGTTATGTCAGCACACAGGTCAAAAGGATAGCCCCACTCTTCTTTGAATAGATAAAAATATTTTTTCCCCACACCCAACACCACAGCTGTGACTTGACACTCGACTATTCCAAACAGCAAACAAGATTCAATGACCCTAGTAACTCTAATATAATCAATAGGCTTATAAGGTACTTTTTTGTTTGTTTCATTTTACGCATTTTCTCAACAGTATTTCAGTTATATAGGCGGTAATAACGTACATGTATATTAATAATTAAAACTAGCAACAACCAAATGTGACATATAGCCATATATATGACAGACAGGCAGAATTATTGACAATATTGACAATATACACATACTGTATCTACCATTTTGAAATAATAAAACATATGTTACCATGGAGAGAACAAGAACAGGTTTTCTACCATAAACATCTGATGTAGCGCCTATCACAGGTGAAGCTATAAACTGCAGCAGTGAAAACATGGACCCTATCAAACCTGAAAATATTATATAAATACACGATATTAAATAAGTGTAGATTTAATACTAAACTTATTGAAAGAGTTGCGTAAAATCATATTATGCGAGCCTCTGTTCAACTTGGTCAATGAATTTAGTATTGAATCTATACAAATATAACATTCTACTTATCACATATATAAAATAAGAACGGTAAACTGTCAAAAAGAGTCAATTTTTATTAAGGTGCCTATAGTGTAACGCTAATATCAATGCACTTTAACGCTGTTTATATATAACGCAAATGACATAACATCAAAGTGTTATTACACTATTGTATTACATCTCTGCACTGCAGTATATGTGATGAATGTACATGTATTTGAATTCAACTTCTGATACACTCAACTTCTTTATCTACTGTTTTTGCAAGGATCAACAATATTTCACTTTAGGGCAGTCTGAGAACAACTTTGAGGAACTCATATGAAAACTTTACAATATTCAACCTATTTATGTTGTAACAATGATAATCAGATATTCAAATTTAGGACAGGAGGTCAGACACTGGAAATAATTTCCTCACAGGTAACTTTGCTAAAACTTCCTTCTACATGTATATTTGTTTTGTTTTTTCCACATATTATTATATCTGAGGTAGAAATGAAGAAAGAGCATGGAAAAGTACATGACATCAGATTGCCAAAATATACAAAACCACCAAAATACAATATTTTACAATTAATCAAAATAAGCTTTTGTTTTTACCTCCAAATAACACAGAATTCCATCTTGGGGTGTCTGGTGCCCCTACCAGCTCTCTAAAACTGCTCACTGAATCTTTCAAACTTTTATATAGACCATCCTGAAATCAGTTATAATATGACATATTAAAAGATGTCAAACTGTACAAATAAAAAATAAATAAAAATGTCCTTTATCATGTTAATAAATACCGTTAAACCTTCTTTGTTCAAACTTGAAACGTTTGAATACCTTCCTTTCCTCAAACTCACTGTCCAGTCCTTACAAAATGCTGTCCTATTAAGTATTGTTCTATCTTGAATCGATAGAATACAAAAAGCTGAATCTCTTGACCACAGAAATATAGAGAAATTCACACCTTTTTGGTCATACACAAACTGATAACGAACACTGCTGGTTACAGGTTGACTCCCATTTCATTAGTAGCACAACTTAATCATATCAGGGTGGTATTTTGTCTTCTGTACTTAATCGCAATAACTTTTCTAAAATAGCCAAAAAAGCACATGATGGTCCAGTTACATGGCCAATAAGAACTTTTTTGGAAACTGTGAAAGAACATCAAAAATAGACATTTTTAAGAAGAAGAAAAATAACAGCATTTTTGCGGGCTTTATGAGTCTATAAGTATCCAAACATTATTAAAGAGTAAGCAAATATTCAAATACAGATTAAAGACATCAGTGACCACAATTGACCTACCTCTTTAGTTCCATAGTAGTCTAACAGTGACGGCAGTAAAGGGAGTATCACAGTAAATGCCAGTAAATCTATAACCAGTGATATGAATACAGTTCTTAGCACTTTCTTCTCACTAGCAGACAGAGTGCTGTCCCCTGATTTATCTGTACCATCAGTTGTCTCCCTTGGTTGCTCGCTACTGGAGACATCTCCATTCTTTTGAGATCTTGTTACAGCCATTTCAGACCTACAAAATAAAATAACAAGTGAAATGTTATGAAAAAATAAATTTTTCGAGACAATATTGCATTTATAATAGTTGGCAAACAAAAATTTCTGACATAAATGGAAAGAATTCATTGTATTTAAACAATAAGAAACAATCTGTAGCCAGTTTTGGCGATACTTCTCTGAAAATATCACCATTAAAGTAATACATGTAATTTTCAAAAATAATTTTTACAAGAGCCATGTCAACATGGCCATCCCCCGCCGAATGTGTTTGCTCATTGGAAGAATGTATATGTAGTAGAGCGGAATAATTCTATTTTAAGAGGTCTTTTGGTAATGAAAACTGATGGCTATAGTGATTACAGATTTGAAACCTATGTGAATACTGATGGCTTAAAATAACAAAAGGCAATTACTGAAAAATAATGCAGGGTAGGTTATCATTATTGTGTGCTGCATCCCTCCTCAGTAAAATCTATCCACCTATGAAGTTTCAAGTTGATACCTCAAATACTTTTTGAGAAAAAATTAAAGTATGAAAAAGAACAAAGGGCAATAACTCAAAAATTATAAAAGGTAGAGTTATCATTCTTGTGCAGTGCACACCTCCTGAGTCAGAGATCTATGCACCTATGAAGTTTCATTTTGATATCTCAAAGGCTTTTTGAGTTATGCTCTGGACAAAAATTAATTTTGAAAAATAACAAAGGGCAATAACTCAAAAATAATGCAGGGTAGAGTTATCATTCTTAAGCACTGCACTTCTCCTCAATGAGATCCATCCACCTTTGAAGTTTAAAGTTGATACCTCAAATACTTTTTGAGATAAGCTCTGGACAAAATAGCATGAAAAAAAAAGGGCAATAACTCAAAAATTGTACAGGGAAGAGTTATCATTCTTGCGCACAACATTCCTCCTCAATAAGATCTATCCACCTATGACATTTCATGTTGATATCTCAAACACTTTTTGAGTTATGCTCCACTCAGGTGAAAAATTAGGTATGAAAAATAACAAAGGGCAATAACTCAAAAATTATGAAAGGTAGAGTTATCATTCTTGTGCACTGCACACCTCCTGAGTGAGATCTATGCACCTATGAAGTTTCATGTTAATATCTCATAGGCTTTTGGAGTTATGCTCTGGACAAAAATCAATTTTGAAAAATAACAAAGGGCAATAACTCAAAATCATGCAAGGTAGAGTTATCATTCTTGTGCACTGCACTCCTCCTCAATGAGGTCTATCCACCTATGAAGTTTCAAGTTGGTAACTCAAATACTTTTAGAGATATGCTCCGGACAAAAATGTCGGACGGAAGGATGGACGGACGGAAGGACGGAAGGTCGGACGGACGGAGACTATTTCTATATCCTCCGCCGAAATTTTTCGGCGGGGGATAAAAATGTTTCAATATCAACATCATATCGTGAATTAAACCTGAATGACTTTAAAAACTCAGCCTATCTATTAACTTGATAGAAAATACTTTTCTTATAAACAAATTATTATGAACATGGAACAATGACTCTAAATCAAACAATGTTATAAACAATGGGCCTTTTTCTTAACAGAATAGCCTTAAAATATTGCATTTCAAACTAACCATGTGAATAGTCAGAGTTGTTTGACTGTTTTGTATTTGACTCCCCATTAATAATTATGTGACTAATGTTTATAATAAGTATAAATAAAGTAAATAAAATGCAAAACTGACCTCTTTTCTAAGTTCATCATTATTATTATTCCTTAAAATATAATAATAAGCCACAAAAATCACTCACTATATACTGTACTGAACACAGTTAAATGAAATAAAGATATAATAACTTACACTAGTAAAACATACAGGTTTTTGCCTAGGGGACTGGTACAAGAGTTAAATGACTGGAGTATACCTCACTCCTCGTCATAACATTTCAATGATCTTCTTAATTTTTCCCTTGGGCAAAATCTTTTCTAGTTAACATAAGTGAAAAGGTATGCTACAATGTTTAATTAGAAAGATCAAACATATTATGTCTTATCTAACATTAAACTACAGTATTACATATTATAGCTGACTTGGATCTTCATGAAAAATTTAGTATTCTTATCAGAGGAATATATATGTAGAATTGTCAACATTTTCTTCTTAAACCAAGAGAAATATATGTATATAAAAAAATCAAACATATTCATAGGTTTGTTTTTATTTAGGTATTCATGCATGTAATTTTATGTAGCTTAACCATAAGACAGCTGGTGATGACTGGATCTACCTTAGTCCTTCATTGAAAGACATTGCATTTTCTCTTTTTTTTACAGTTTTACGTTAATCGGAAAATGCGTTAAAGTGGATTTGACCAATGTAAAAAATAGCTTCAAATCTGCGGTTTAAGTCTAAATATTTGGACTAGATCTACCTGTACAACAATTGCAGATCAATATCAGGTGGCAAATAAGTTTATTGAAACAATCTCAAATTTGTTCCTGGAACAACCTATACTAAGCAGTGAGTGTAAAGTTCCTTGCTAAAGGAAACAACCGCTTGCCCCTGATAGGGTTTAAACCCATGTGGTCACCAATCCTTAGATTACTACTCCGACACATTAACCACTCAGCCACGCCACCACTAATTTCAATTGATTTTCAATATTAGATTATATTACTATTCAGTCAGCAGGGTTGTCATTATAAGTTTTTCAAGATGATTAACTTTGAATTTGAGGCAATAATTTTGTTTTACGTAGTTTTATCACATATAAAACAAGAGTGTTCTCTTTAAATAGTTTTGAGACAGCTATAATGCATTGCATTATTTGGTTCATATTGAAAAATGGATGGCTTTGTTTAAACAATACAGAGTGAAATTAACAATTTTGATATCATAACTTCACAAGGTATCTTATTTTTTTCATCCCAGATAACCAATTTTTAAATAAAGACAATATTGACAGAGCATTCTGCCAATTTTATGAAGATTCAAGTTTCCAGAGTGTTAACTATGATCTGGTGACCTAGATTTTGACCCAAGAACACTTATCTTTTTATCCTGTTCTGTTCAAGATACATGTATTAGTAAGGAAAACTTTGATTAAACTTATTTAACTACATTAAAATCAAATGAAAAATAACCTGTCGGAGTGTAAACCAAGTTTTATTTCGCCTGGTGATCTGACAAATATCTGTTTAAGTCTAATTTGTTATATATACATGTATGTTTAAGAGGATATTTTGACAAACTTTTATAAAAATGCAAGCAAAAAGTGGTTTTAAAAGTGTTTTTAAGTGTTTTCCTTTTATTTTACTAAATGACCTAGTTTTTGACCCAAGAAGGCCCATGTTGGTACTTGTCATGTTAAGATGATATAATTAACATGTTGACAAAGTTTAATGAAAATACAAACAAATTGTGGTCTTAAATGTGTTAACTACATTCTTCTTTGATTTGATCCAGTGACTGAGTTATTGAACTAAGTTGATGTATGTTTGAACTCATCCACAAAATATTATTGGAATAAACATACTGACAAACTCTGTTGCAAATCCAATCAAAACTGTGATCTCTGTATTGTTAACAATCCGAAAATGTTGACAACAGTCAAAGATTGATGGAAGCAGGTCTATAGAGTTGACAGAACCATCTATCAACATCTACCATGAGGGCATGCATGCAGTCCTGTTTCCTGTGCGCCGCGCTTTGAAGATGGGAACCAACATATAACCAAATGGCTCTAACTAGAGCCAACTGGTTTTCATTTTCAAAGCGCGGTGCATTTGCATACAGCAAACCTGGGGAGCCAGTTTGAATTTGTCAAAAGATTTTGTAAATCAAGTAAAATGGCGATAATCTTGATGTTTATAACTTTATTTAGCCTGTTGCCTTGTTTATATTGATGTTGAAGTTTAAATTGACCATCATCGTGGAATAACAACTTCTCTGTCCATGGACAAAAGGATTATATGAAATATTGGAATTGGAATAAAATACATGGTGATTTTCATTTTTGACAGTAGGTGTGCAAATATTTTCCCGTGAACATTTTTATCTTGTGTATTAGATCTATTACAAACTTTGAAATATGAAAGTGTCTGTGAATATGCACATAGAACTGTAATATTATGGCAAAAAAGCTCCACTTCTCTAAATACTTCCTGTTTGTAAACTAAACATAACATACAAAATGTACAAAACAGATAAACTTTCCAAATACTATCGTTTCTTACGTTATATTTATTTTGTCTGATCTACTAACGCCTGAAAGCAAATAAAGTATAAACATCAAATAATATATTAATATTAATTATAATGTTTTGGAGTAAGTATTAATTTAAACTTACACGAATTGACAAGAAGCTCAGTTAGCTGTCATGTGTATTTTCGGCCGCTTGGTTAGAAATAAATTTCGTATAGAATATGTTCTCTTTGTTTTACAAAGAGCGAAACGAAATATTTATCCGAAAAGAAGTAACAATTTTATCGGCAGAATAACAGCTGGAAGGTGATTTTCGAATTTTGAAATATTCATTGATATTTCAGCACTTGTACAAACATTTTAACAAATCTTTACGCAGTTGTCATCCGTTACAATTGTAATGATCAAAACTGTATCGACGGAAAATATCTTGATCAGTAAACTATATGATTGTCTACTTGAAATTAAGAATAATAAAAATAATTGGGTTTATAATGTTAAATCTCTTTTAGATGAATACGGATTTTCCTATGTATGGTACAATCCAGGTTTAGTTGACTTGAAAAAAATTCATATTTTGTTTAAAGGAAGAGTAACTGATGTTTTTAAACAAAAATGGGAACGTAAGTTATCTACCAGTGAAGTATCGTATGGATATATTAAAAATAGTTTTGAATTTGAATCTTATATAGACATTTTACCTAAAAAGTTTAGAATTGCTACATCCAGACTGCGTTTATCATCACATAAACTGAGAATTGAAACAGGCCGATATGCGCTAAATAGAATAGACCGCAATCAAAGAAAATGCTTACTTTGTAACAAAAACGATATAGAAGATGAATATCATTTTGTAATCATTTGCCCGTTTTTACGATGAATTAAGAAAGACTTTTATAAAATCTTATTATTACAGACATCCAAGTGTGTACAAATTTGTAGAATTGATGCAATCTAGGAATTTTAAAATAGTAAAGAATCTCGGTAAATTTTTGTATAAAGCTTTTTCTGTTAGAGCGAGTCAAATTGTTTAGTTTTTCATATCATTTATACCATTTAATAGTAAATGTTATCTGCATATTGAACTTTACTAAATCTAGGTTGTGTATAATTTTTGTATTCATAAACTGAATTGCAACTGTATTTACATACCCATCCTCCTTCTCCATGTGATAAATATTATTTTTTACCGTAGCATGCGTGTGTGAGTGAGTGTGTTGGTGTACGTGTGTGCGTGCGTGCGTACGTGTGTATGTGTGTGTGTGTGTTTACTTTCTCCCACTATGTTATGCACTAATTTCAATGTTCCTATGTATGCCAATGTCATGTGATTGTAAATTTGTATCATATATTATTTGTTATAACGAAAAACTTGTAAAAGTTTAAGTTAATAAAGTATCTATCTATTAAACTTTAAAATTACCTTAAAAACATGAATTTATAAATAAGCGTGTTTTTGTCCAAAAATCATTGTACAAATGTTAATGAAAGTTTTTATCCTTATTTTTTTTTAATGTGGTCAATTTAGTATCATTCGTAATTTGAAAAAAATATATTATCTTATTTGCCATTAAGTTTTACGTATATGAATATATTATTTTATTATACAGCATTTCTATAAAGTTCATCGATTCACACCTCATCATCAATAAGTCTACTCTAAATTTCTATATCGTCCGCTTTTTTCCTCTATATCTATATCGTCAGCGTTTTCCCTATACAATGTATATCTATATTGTCCGCAAGATGCGTATCATGTTATCTCTAGCTAAGTGCCGACACGATTAATCAGTAGCGTGTTGTTCACACTTATATAATTACCGTTAATTTGCAGCACGCTTCTGCTTATATTGTATCAATAAAAAACAACAGCCTGTTTCTTGGCACGCTAAAGAACCAGGAGAAGCTTCTGGAACTGGGGCATCTTTCTGTATCTGTAATTGCACTATCCTCCGAAAAATAAAATGACTAATACTCTTCTGGAGGGCTCGCCCATATGGGCAACCGGTGGCGAGTATAAATAAACGCAAATACACACACACAACAGCCTGTCATTACTTATTTAAATCAATAATTTATGATTAAAAATTACTCTTACGAACTTTTGATTTTGAAAAATCAAGGCTTTCTTTATTTTGCGAACAAAATTTTGTCCGCCTACTGCACATAATGACAGACAAAAACAATGCCAAAATGAAATACATATCCTTAATTACATATCCGCTGTTGCCAATTTAATAGTACCATCATTGTAATTCTAAAGACATTCATTTGATCCATTTGTTTCATATATTAGTTTTCAATATTTAGAAATTCCGAAAATGTGTCATATAAATATAATATAAAATTCATTGACATTCAATCATAAATTACTTTAATATTTCTCCCAATTTGCTAATTGATTATATTTTTTTATATATTAAAGTATAAATCCAATTACACATCATTTTTATAAACTTCATCAATGCCCAAAATCATCACCAATTAGTCTACACTATATATCTATATCGTCCGCTTTTTTCCTCTTTGTCTATATTGTCAGCGTTTTCCCTATATGTTTATATTGTCCGCTTAAGGCGTCCGCGTTTTAGACAGGCCCCAAGTGAAGAGTCCGGGACCACCAACCGGACACTTTTTGAACATTTTCCATACAAATTTTATAATATTAAAGCTAGAAATCTGAAAATTTGACACAGTGCAGTTAGGTTCTTTTCATAACTATCGGACTTAAATTTGTTTATTTCTGATTATGTTGACATTTATATCTGAGGCCTGTGAAGGAGGGTATCAAAATTACCTAAATTTTCCACACTACAGTTCCATGTGTCCGGACAGATATGTCCATGATGATGATAACATAATTATACATTAACCCTATGACATCCACTCCATTATTTCCATTGGGTGTAAAGAGCAAGTATACAAAGAACACTAGAATGCTTTAACTACTTTCAATTACTGCAACCATACATTAAGCTACACGATATCGCGATGTTTCGTCACACCCGTCGTCTAAGAATCTTTTGTGGGCTTAAGATTTCAAGATTTTATTGATAAGTCTTTAGGCCTCCGGCCCATAAACATTTACAACATATATATGATATATATACATAGAAAGTGAGTGATACAGACATAATTACATACAAAACTAACAGTAGTTCAGTATTTATTGAAAAATATCTAAGTAACTTCGTCTTTTATCTAATGCGTAGAACAGGTACATTGCAGTTTTTCTAATTTCATTTTTGTTAGACATTAATGAATAAAATTTATCAAGTGTTGGTAGCGTTCTGTAACTTTCCGAAATATATTGGCAGCGTATATCATTATATAGAGGACAGATTAACATAAACTGGAATTCGTCCTCTATTGAAGTTTCACAATAAGGACAAATACGTTCCTCTCTACTTAAGCCATAGTGTCTACCTGGTTCAATAAGAAGATTGTGAACAGAACATCTAAAAGAAACAGAAAATTTTCGAAATTTGACAATATCCAGTACATGTACATAATATTCAACTGTAAATTTTGTTTTATATGATGAATAATATGTCAAGTTCTTATTAAGCATACCTTTGGCACTCCAATTTTGTAGGTATTGATCTTTTAGTCTATTGACATACACATTTAAAAAAATCATCATTAATAGTTTACTTTTTGGTTTTCCCAAATATAGCCAAATCCATTACTAAATAAATTTTCTCTGATATCTGAAACCCAATTTTTCCTACCTATTGTATCATAATATAATAGCATATTATAACATAATTTAGGATATCTATCGTTTGGCATTTTTAACAGTCGTAACCAATATTTAATACCATTTTTTGATTAGTAGATATACATTGGGTATCGTCCCAAGTCACCCATAACTGCATCATTACAAGCATTAGAGTTTACTTGTAAAAATCTTTTACAACAAAATATATGGAGTGATTCAATAGAGGAAATATTACTAAGACCCCACAATTCCGAACCATACAACATAATGGATTTTATATTAACATCAAATATTTTAAAGAAAGTATGCAACCGTATTCCTGAACAGAACTTAGAATATACAGAAATACTCGTTTTGCCTTAATAGACATAATTACATAATAATGTACATAGATAATTTGCTGGTAAAATGAACACCTACATAATCAAATCCTTTAACAACTTCAATATTTTTACCAAAATAATGCCAATGCTCATATTTTGACAATTGTCCCCCATTTTTAAAAACCATAATTTTTGTTTTGTCTATATTAAAAACAAGTTTATATTTAAGTGAACAGGTTGTTTGATTTTGTACACATTTACAATTTACATGCACGAATATGTGTGTATTATCTTAAGACAAATAGCAAGAAATAGTCAATAATGTATTTTAAATTCATAAAAACACCGTATTTTCGGCTTCTAAATGGCATTGGTTACCTCTTTGCTATTTGTAATGTTTGGTACTTTGTATGGACAATAGTCCACCATAGTCCAATTATATTAACAATTAAAACAAAGTGTGTGGTCATGATATTAACAATTAAAAACAAAGTGTGTCTTGACTGTTTAATTTACTGATTCCAAGTGAGTTGGAGCTGCACACATTTAGGCGAGAATTAATGTTACAGAGAATCATGGGAAGTATAGACTTGCTATATAGTGATAACATGAATTGTAAGTGCACAATTCTACACTATTGACTTTTCCTATCACAGGTAACCTCATAGCATTTGTACTTTTTGCCCGGGTTGCACTGGTGGAAAAAACTTTCGTAACAGTTTTCTCAGCAACTACTTATCACAGCCCCTTGATATTTGGCATACAGCATTGACACGTGGTCCCATAACGTGGGATTTGATTTAAGGTCTGTCGCTCATCCACTTCCTGTTTGCCAACTTAGTTAAATTTTCAACATTAATGGTCAATGGTAGGAAATTTTCGTAACAGTTTTCTCAGCAAGTACTTATCACAGCCTCTTGATATTTGGCATACAATATTGACACATGGTCCCATACTGTGGGATTTGATTTAAGGTCTGTCGCTCATCCACTACCTGTTTAACAACTTAGTTAAATTTTCGACATTAATTGTCAGTGGTAGGAAATTTTCGTAACAGTTTTCTCAGCAAATACTCATCACAGCCTCTTGATATTTGGCATACAGCATTGACACAGGGTTTCATACGGTGGGATTATATTTCAAGTCTGTCGCTTATCCTTTTCCTGTTTATCGACTTAGTTAAATTTCCGACATAAATGGACAATGGTAGGAGGAAATTTGTGTAACAGTTTTCTCAGCAACTACTTATCACAGCTTCTTGATATTAAACATACAGCATTGCCTCATGGTCCCATACTGTGGGATTCGATTTCAGGTCTGTCGCTCATCCACTTCCTGTTTACCAACTTAGTTAAATTTTTGACATTAATGGTCAATGGTAAACATTTTTTGTAACATCACAGCCTCATGATATTTGGTATACAAATGCATCCCGGCCTTTTCTGTCTTTGACCCAATTTATTTATTGTATTTTGCATTGTTGAAATCGAAGGAAAAGACAGACTTGAGTATGCGATAGAAAATGCAAGTTTACGCACTACTAGTACTCGTATATATATTAACATCTAAGAGAGTAACATTGCTTATTCCCTACGTACCGGGTTAAGAGGGTACCCGTGACAGGAAAAATGATTTGCAATGTCAGAGGTAATCAGAGGTAATCCGTGCCGCTGCAAAACCGAAAGTAAAGAGTTTTCATGAATCTTAAATACATTTTTTTACTATTTATTATCATTTGTCTGAAAATTATGTAAAATAGAAACATATATGTATGCTGTGTACATAATAATAAAATAACTTGTTCATTTTAGCACAAAGAGCATATTGAGGCGATGGGCGTAGCAAATTTTGCAATATTGTATAGCTTATTGTGGAGATGTAGTAATAAGAAATGAACAAATTCTTAAGAAAGACATACTTAAAACATTCTAGTGTTCCGTGGTATACTTGCATGTACAAAGAGGGTACTGTTTTAATAGGTTATCTATATGGATGTATTTAATACTAGTAAAATGGGAAAGTGTGCTGATCATAATAGGAATATAGGAGTGCTAATTTTTCACTTACCATCTGTTTAACCGTTTGTCTGTACATATACATATGTGACATACTTGATATGAGTTTGAATGCTTTATTTTTATATGTTGTCGCACCGATTGCTTTCCTTATTGACTCGAATCTACACACATACTTGGCTTTTTACCGCAACAAATGAACTTATAAACCTTGTAAAGTGTATGTTGGAATATAAATGTTTTTTTTACATTTCCTTTAACTATTTGTAAATATTTCAATGACATGGTCATTTGGTCATTTGCCTTGTGTGTAAGGTAATGGTTTAGTTTTTTCTTTATCATTTAGACAGAAATTCTTTTTAAAACATCTTGGAAACTAAGGTAGTAACACATACATATTGTATATCTTTGCAATTTATTGTAAAGGTTAGTAAGCGTTGAGTATCAAATGGAACATATTTAAAGCGAAATATGCTAAATAACATTAAAGGCACACACAAATTACAGTGCATTTTCATTGGAATGGTATCGGTACCTTTATATCTTTATTATGATGTTTTAAAGTATTTCTCAACATTTGATAAATATGGAAATTAAATAGCGACTAAAAATAAGCAGAAAGTCAATATGATATCTTTATGGCAAATATCCGTGTGCAAGTATTGCACTTGCATTCAAAGAAAATTAGAAGCAAGGACCAATACGTAAAGATAGCAACGTACACTCCAATGGGAATAATTAAAGTATTTAAATTAGTCAAGATTGTACATTTGATATGAAATGTTACTAAGTTGCTTTTTGTCTCTGTCCATAGCAATCCTATAAGCAACAATTATGTACGCAATGATCGCTACAAGTCCGCCGAGTCCTGTGAAGATGATTGAATAAGGGATTCTATATGGAGACTCATTCTCAAGTATTGTATTATAAAACTCTTCCGCATGACGTATCCTGTTGGAGAAATGGGCGGCTGTTACTATACCAAGTATACCTGAAATTTAATTAAGTAAATAAAATATACTTTAATGCACAAAAAGTGGATATTATATTGCTTAAATGCTTTTATATAATATCCTCCTTTAAGTTTGCATGTAGAATCGTATGACCATGTCAGTTAAGTTACTCTTTCAATTAATGGGTAAAATATTGAAAATGAATCGTATAATGAACATATATAACTAAAAATTTTGTTACTATTCTTATAGTGATACCTCGGTGTGATATACCTAATGTTAAGCTTAAAGTAATTCAGGTTGTTACCATTGATTGAAGTTAAAGCTAAATGAGGGTCCATCCGCCCTTTCGGGCACAAAATGCAGCTTTCGCTGTCGAGTATGACAATAGGAATAGTTAGCCCTGAAAAGGGCTGTTTGCGCCAGGAAAAGGCCTGCCTTTCAAGCCGTCTAACCGTCCTCGTAGACCCAAGCACCTACTTTGTAGGGCCACTCCCCTCGGCATTAGTCAGGACACCGGCAGCTGGTCCGCAGTTGTTGACTAAGTAGCGGTTCCGTCTTTAACGCCCACGGAGGCTTCAGTTTAAGTTAGCCACCAGCCAAGCTGTAAATCTTCTGCCGATGCCCTGTGCCTTCTCAGCGACGCGCACGCTCCGAGGGGAAGTGAGAACCACACTTAAGTGAAATTTTATATATGTATATAATTATGCTCCTAAAACAATTTTCAAACATCGAAGAATATGTAAAATATATACTGCAAATATTTGTCCACATTATATGTAATCATTAAAATATATGCATTCATTTCTTATTGAAAAATTTGACTTAGACTTTATAGAAAATATATTTCTAATTACCTCCCTTTATTAACATGAAATGTAAATACAAATAATGCTTTTTGGAACTTACAATATTGATAAATCTTCATTTGAGCATTATATTTATGATATAAAACCATAACAAATTGAGTTACAGGATCTTTAACATGTTCTTCTAATGAATGAATTGTTTTATCATATCAATATAGTGTAGTCAGACATTTATGTAGGTATATAAAATTACCACAGTATCTGATAGATACCATATCATTAATATCCCTAATTTAATTATTTGGTAGGATATTTTGTTTTCGGATATCTTGTATTTAAAGTGAGGATTGCACTTGGGGACCAGACGCCACTTTTCATGGAATGGCAATAACGAATCTATTATCACATTGAAGGTTCAGTGATCATCGCCGTATGAACACATCTGAGGATATTTCTACATTTGAAACTTTACCATGAGCATGTTAAAAGTCGAATTCTGTTTAAGCCGGTTTGATTAATAGTAGCATGATTTAACCCATGTAACCCTAGTAACAAAGGGTCAATAATATCATATAACTACCTTATGTTAGAAATAGATCTCTAAAATACTAAGAAATAATATAATCTGACAAAATCCTTACTGAAATGTTACTAACATGCATGTTTTCTCTTTATAATGTAATAGAAAAAAAGTCATAGTGAAAATGTTACTTAACTACACGTTTTCAAGATTTGTAAAAGTTTAATTAATAATATTTGAATTATCAATATATTTCGCTGATATTATGAAATGTAAAACTTCTTGCTATTTGAATATATGATCTTATAAATATTATTGAATTTCTTTGCACATTTTAAGAAAATGTGAATTATAAAAATATATGAGAAATCTTTTTTTTCTTGAACCTTACAAAATCTGTATTATAAAGAGTGAGAGTTCCAGAGAACTCACTTTACATATATTCTGTATTAGGAACTTGCAATTAAAGTGCCAGCACTGGTTATAATGTGTGAAAAGATCTTGTAAACAAGATGCTCTATTACCTGCCATAAACATTGCAATGATGCAGATGGCAACAGACCAGATGAACCTTAACTTCTGATCAGTCTTCCTGTGAACTATATTCATCAGAATAGCAACAAAAGATGCCACCAATGCTACTGTATCAATCACCTGATACTTGCTCAATACACTTGACAGAGACTCCGAATCTAAAATAACAACACTCTGATGTTTATGTGTGTATATACAGATAGCAAATTTGTAATTATTTCTAGTCTGAAAGCGTTTAATTAAATAAAGTGTATCTTTAATATATATAATCATCAACACATAATTGAAAATTATCGTCTTAATATTGATTTTCTTCCCAATCATTTTTCATTTTCTTTTAATAATAATCTATATCGTGGGAGGCATTGGTTTGGTCGTATCAGCACTGAATTGACTAGTTGTGTCTTCAATTAAAGTTTCCAACGGGCTCTTCCTAAACAAGAACACTTGGTATTTCATTCTGTCATGTATTGTGTCGTATCTGGTCTTTACCGTATAACAGTGCAGGCTTTTGCCTAATTATTTTTTCTATTTGATTTATTAATTCATATATGCATATTTGATTTGAATAATGCACAATTGTATATGGAACAGCTATTTATTAATATTAGGGGAGGTAACATTTTATGCGAAACCTCTTCTATTTATTGATCATCGTTTTCTATATTCATGATGTTTGACCTTTATATTTTCAAAAACATGCATAATTTTAATTCTTTCAAACACGTGGTATAGTTGGGACGATATAAATTGTGTATGTATTCTTGGCTTAATGAGCGTCCATCCCCCTTCAGGCACTGAGAGTTCAGACCCTAGACATGTCACCATTCATGTCCTTGGACGCTGGGTTTAAAAAAACAACACCACATTATATATACGAAATGTCACGACGTACCTTTGAACTTAAAATGTGATTGGTCAAGGTTCCAAATGGTATTAGTAGAGCAAGAACTACTATCACAATGCACCCCGTACCATAAACCAGTATGAATGGTGCCGTTGCTTAGCTGAAATGAGTTTATAAACAAAATATAAAAAAATGCCTGTAGAAAATTTTGTTTTATTCAGCATACATTGTGTTTTTTTATCAATATTCAAGCAATCAACTTCAGCGCGATATTTGGCACAAAATGAAAAAAGTTAAACTCGTATATTATGAAAATAGCATTCAATATATCCACCGTTTCTCATGGAATATTCGCAAGCATGTTTTGCTTACAATAAGAATGTTAGAAAATACCTTCATAAACAACCAACCAGGCGTTGCAAACCCCATGGAATGGAAAATGGCTGACAAAAACATCAACGCCATCACTTTGTTTGAAAACATAATCCTAGAAGCTCCTTCCATCTCTTGTCTCGGGTAGGTTTTACTTTATCCTGAATAAACTTATAATATTATGAGTAAACATCATTTGAGGAATATAGGATTATAATACCCGAAAATTAAGGAATATCACATTTTCATATTATGTTTGATTTTTTTTTTCTTAGATTTAAAAGCATAAATCGCACCATATTGTTGCAAAGTTTGAACACGGCAACAAATATCGAATAATGATTGTCGGATAGAGATTCTCATCAAATTGTGTCTGATAAAGTAAATATTTATATCAAAATTTAAGAAATAGATATGCTAAAACAATATGTGACATTTGGGCCTGACCCATTCAATGTCTTTGAAAAATCTTGCAAATAAATGTTGCAAAATAATGCATTGTATACAATCTTTTTATTTGCAACAAAGTATTTCTGTAAATAATATGTAGTTATATAACCAAACAAATATTTAAAAGGTGGATGTTGCAAAATGTTTTGCATGTATTTCATCATGTAAAGCACTTTGGTATTGTTGTTAACGCTTGAGAAAAAATCGAAAAAAATAGACTTATTTATCAGTTACAGTTGTTATAAACGTTGTCACTTACTTGTCTCAAACCTGCATACCTTCACTTCTTATAAACTCCAAGAATCTAACATTAAATGTCATACAGTCCCAGATGTCCTTTTCCCAATATTTAATTGTCTAAGCGTTAAATCTTGTTGCTGCTGTTTTTGCTTTATTCATGTGTACATAAATGTTATGAATTTAATTAAAAGTTACTAAGCGTAACGAACGACTTGCAAACGTTGTAAACGTTGTACAACGTTAATAATGTATATGTGATTAATTATCTGTACCGTTTAATTAAGGTCAAAAGGTTAATCTAAACACCATCTTATGTTGCTGAATTTCTGAAAGCAACATCAAGGAAAAAACACACAAAAACAACAACAACAAAAAATAAAATAAATACAAACAAGATAATATACCATTTGATGTATATTCGTATTTTTATTTCCTTATCCTAATATTTCTGTTAGATAGCAGGAAAAAGCGTTATAGTAATGAGCTTTAGGTTAAGACGTTTACAATTGCCTTATGGGATTGACATAAAAACATACTGACTGTACCTATAGACGGAAAAAATAGCTTTTGGGTTGCATGACTGAGTGGTTAGGCTTACTTATTTGAAATCACAATCTATTTTTAGTTATGCGTTTGAATCCCACGTAAACTAAATATTGCAATTTACAGATTAAAATCATATCTCAAGACATTTTTCTTTTTTACTTAAAGATATTATCGAGTATTCACATATAAATATTAAATTATTATTTATCACTTATTAGACGTAGTAAAGTTAAAAGGTCAAATGAGGTTGCTTACAGATGGAGATTTCAATTAGAACCTTTCAATTATGGCGTATAGCCTATCGATAATGATAATATTTTCTTTAGTTATGCTGAGATATCAGAAGGCAAATATCATGAGTAAGTATGCCATGGGTTGTAAAGCTACTGTTGATTGCATATACATGTAATTTAATCCAAATCACACTATAGGCTCATGGCAAAACAAACATAGTATAACACATCAGAATATCACACACTTACATGACAAGTCATTAACCTTAGAATGTATGACAGAATGTACAGTTTATGCATATATATTTCGTAAAGACAATCCGCAGAAAATCTACCCAGCAAAAGTGTATCACTTGAAGCTAATCAAGACGATTGCAAATTCAACAGGATACAATAAATTACAATAACAATTTAAGACATAGTGTTTTTTTTCAAATATATCACACATCAGTGGGAATATTGATATTGTCCAGTTCATTATAAAGGTAAAAAATTAAAATACGACAGTCCATTGATTTGATTTCAGCTGACAACTGTACACGTAATGTTTTTATTTTCCTTCTATTTTCTGTTGTCACTGTTACTCTGTTTCTGCTATTGTTATGTTTGGTCACCTGCATGATGTTCACTGTCTACTAAAGCACTACGTTTACACTTCCTACAATAAATGAAAGAAAAAATAATTGCAAATTATTTAAAATTTGTCTTCAGCATAATTGATAACTCTCTTGACAAGACAAGATATGACATGACCGGCTAAAAACACAATTAATCGGCAAGAGAAATATAACATTCAGATGCACAGCACTTTTATAATGATACCAATCTATATTTTACAGTTTATAGGTTTTTAAAAACAATATAAACTTGAGTAAATTACCTTTTGATAACAATAAGAACAACGATGAGGCACCCCAGCATCAACACTGAGCCTACAACAGATCCAATGACAACATACACGCTTCCGGTGTCGGTAATTTCTGTAACAGAAGAGGCATTTTGAACATATTAGTTACATATATTCTTCTTTCTTATAATATACTTATCTAGTTTCTTCATATTTACATGCTATAATAATGCTTTTTGTATTGATTTTGCAAAAAAGATAACAGTATATGTGTAGCTTAAGTAACAGTTTCTTTTTCTTTTTTTGGATTTGTTAGATGTTATTCATCGTATATATCCAGTAACGCAGGAATGTGCAATTATCGTAAAAGTAACGCCGAATCTTTGCAACGCTATTGCCAAAACGCACAACACAGTAAGTAAACGAAACAAAATATTTTATTCTAAATCAAATTTAAAGAAATGAATTAGCGCATACGGCTGCTACTACATTATACTTAAACCAGCATTACATTTTTTTCAGGATTTTTTTTACTTTCTTAGATCATTCGTGAGAAAGACAACCTTATTACCGTTTTGAAGGTGTCTTTTGTGTTTCGTCAATTAAATATGTACATTTATAACATTTAAAACCTTTTTTTCATATTCTATATACCCAAGACATTTGTCAAACTACAAGTGTCGTATAACAGTAGAAGGAAGCTGGTAAAATTAGGATTTAGCTACTTTTAATGAGAGATAACCGCCGTTGCTTCAGTGCTTCATTCACGAATTCGGCGTTACCTCGTACAAATGCTTTCAATTACTTTTTATCTGCTAAATATAATGTAATATGACACGCGTAGGTTGGAAATGTCTCAGGTACACCGAATATAAAAAAAATCATAAAGTTATATGTTCGTTATTGTATTTAGAGATATCCACGAAACTTAAAATCGCCATCAATATGCTAGTCAGGTCGTCATTTATACGAATAATCTTGAAAAATAAACATTATCATGGGAATATTTTTGATGAGGTTGTTAGCAACCGTATGCGCTAACTCATTTCTTCCAATTTGATGTTCAATAAAGAATATTAGTCCATTTACTTATCGCGGTGCTCATTTTAGCCACTAAATTGCACAATTCTGCGTTACATTTACACATTCCTGTAAACCAGTCTATATATAAACAGCTTATAATAGTTATATAAAGCAGACATAACGTAAAGACTACTAAGGTATATACAAATGTAACACATAGGTCATAACCTGAACATGTATAAGATCCAGGGACGTTTTCGCAGTTGGTAGAACCATTGCATGGAGTCAGTGAGCACTCGTCAATATCTTCTTCACAGTTATCTCCCGTCCATCCTTCTGCGCATGTGCAGTTGTAACTCCCTGGTGTATTCGTGCAATTTGATGAATGTTTACAAGGATTTGTCAAACATTCGTCCACATCAATATTACAGTTAACTCCCTTCCAAGCAGAAAGGCAGTGACAATCAAACGAACCCGGTGTGTTAATGCATGTTGCAGTTTTTGGACATGGGTGTGTTCTGCACTCATCTTTGTCAATAGTACAATTTCTACCAAACCATCCAGGAGCACAACGGCATTGATGACCACTTGTTGAAACTAAACCTAAATAAAGGATTACAAGAAACTAGTTCAATCATTATTGTTAATGTGAAATTTATAAAACTATACTAGTAAAAAAATGTACAATATAACATTCTTGTATTCTGTTCTCTTTACTGGTACATCGGTGCAGTATATACTAAAATATCTAAATATTTATGACCCTATAATAGTGCTATTTTCGTCTTAGAGCCATAGTACTTATGACAAAGTGTGTGTGTGTTGGGAGGGAGTGGGGAATAAATAATAAATTAAGCAATGCTACTTTTAAATCATATTTGAATTCATGTTCTGACCTTATTGCATGTTTATGACTTTTTATTTAAATACATGTAGTTTTCATAATAATGTACTTGTTATTGTGTTTAGATAAGTTATACATAAATGATGGTTTAATGTAAACGTTTAACAGTTTTAGTAATAGCTTACCGGTATTACGAAAGGTGCAAAACTCGTTTGATCGGCACATTGTACTTAAAAAAGAACAATATCTAGTAATGAAGACATATTTAAACAACTAGAACTTCTTTATAAAGTTAAATAAACGTAATAATAAACATTGGACTTTAAAGCATTTACCTCATATATGATGCACTGAGAAAAATATTTATTTGATGATTTGATTTGATGAGGAATAAGAAGATATATTCAATCTTATTAAATGCCATATCCACATATATATTTGTTAGCATAAATTTGTTACACTTTGAGGGATGACCTATTATTAAACTTTAAGAATGACCATACTCATTAAGACACTGATCCTGACACCATTCCCCAAACCATCCTTTGTCGCATTCACGTACAGTGGTTAAATTGTCCTTTATCTGACAATGATCTTCCTCGCCAAACCAACCACTTAAACACACACATCTAAAATAAAAAAATGTACACGAGTCACACATTCCATCATATACAAATGTATAAGAAAAAAAAGTATTTAACTATATATCTACCTTTTTGTATCTGTTTCCTTTTTTTGAATATACCTTTACCATGCAATTTTGTTATTCTATTCATAACAAATATAAATGTGTTTGAGGTGAATAACAAAAACAGGAAAACGGATAAAATCTTCTATGACAACGGTAATAAATACATCACAAGGGTCAAGTCATACTTGTAGCTTCCGATATTATTTTGGCACCGTCCGCGGTGAAAACACGGGTCTCGATGATAGCATTCATCTTCATCTTCACCACAATTGTGTCCCTTAAACAGATTAAAACCTTTATGTAAGGAAAGTTACAAAATGTGTGTATCGGTGAAAGGATGTGCTAGTTTTTTTTAACAAAATGTAATTAGTTCTCAATAAATTATTTACTTTAGAATATACTTTCCTTACTTTAATTTCTCGATATTTAATATTTTACATTTGTTTGATGAAAACTATTTTTATGCTTTTAAATCAATTAAATAAAACACAAGGATGAGAAATTGACAAATATTATTTGCATATCCAAGCGTCACAAAAACGCTGCCATACATAAGAATTATTTGTAACATTTACTCACTTTATATCCACGTGTGCACATGCAAACTTGTTCCCCATTACTTCTGTTATAACATCTGCCACCGTTAAAGCAAGTAGAATTTCCACAGTGAGTGATTTTAAAAGTTGATAATGAAATTGGTATGGTAACGTTTGAAGTAGTCATCTAGACAAAATAAAGGAATTGGTTGTCAACACAGTACATATACATTTATTATACTCCTCAAGTAATTCATATCTTAATTAATACCAAAAGATACTTTAAAAACATTTTTTCATTAGAACAAGATAATTGAGAGCGAACTCTTCACAATATAACGTATGTAGTAAAATATCGGCTATTATTCATAATATCATCGAAAACAACGGAGTGAAAGTAGAACTTTCGGTACAATTGTGATTGAGAATATGTCTGACAACCATTGTTTATTTAAATATTCCTACTGATGTGCAAATCCGACTTCATGTCAGCAGGTTGGCATTTTTGTACTTTCGGTTTCTACAAACATAAAAGTAAGTATATATACTCGTAAAGAATGTACTGTTTACTTAAATATCTATCAATTTACTTATTTTAGGCGGACTTTTACTTGATATATTGCAAAAGATGTCAATAACTAGCATTTAATTACTATTTCTTTACATGTTTAGTTTCTTAGCGTATAATAGACCGAAATACCGTATATATTCTGTGTATTCCTACTATTGTGTTCGAGGCCCTTATTCGAAGACTGACGGAAAGGGCCGAAAAGTTGCGATTGGCAAAATAGTAAAACAGTGAATGTAATATAGACATTGATTTAATTATAAAATATGTTGGTTACTACCGGTATCTTGTACTTACCCTCGCGACTATTTGAAATAATCTTGATGGATTCAAAGCATTTTATTTCTTGAAATTGTCAAATTCAAATATATAATAGTTACTTAAAGTATATATCAGTTTCATTGTATCAGAGCCAACACTGTGTTGTGAAAATAAAGGAAATAATTTAAAAACTTATATAGAATATTCTGAGTGTTTTAAACTATGTTTTTGTAAAATGTTAAATATCTTTCTGAGAATAATATGCAAGTTAACTTAAACATTAAGGCTTAAATCATCAGTTAAAACAACGCATGGTTTTTGCTTGTATTGTTCCATGACAAAAATAAATGTGAATGAAAAACCGTTGGGTGCTCAACAGTAACAATGAAATTGATATATACGTTTTGTAACGACGAATATAAGGGAGAACAGGGTACAGACTGAATGAATAGTGGTTAACGTTCATGCAAGAAAAGTGCATGTCGTTCGGAACGTTTTGTATTCTGTAGTCGTACATAGGTGTTTGAAACGCTGCCATGTGGTATACTTAACTACATCATTATCAAGGGACAGGACGTGAAGTAGTTGCACACTTGGTTTAAGCGAGAAATTTGATTGCAAACTTGACAAAATGGCTACCGAGTCATCAATTTTCCTAACACTCGCGCGTATTTTCTCCAGGTAAGTGAGTTTGTATGTTATTTTGGAATTCTTTAATATGCCCATTCCTTAAAGCAATGTTATGGCACACTCAGTTTAAGGTCTCAGCTTCCTAGCTTTTGATTTGATGAAGTTATTGAAAATATAACCTTGGTCGTGTAGATATTTGAGATTTGACAATTGACAATCCAGGGCGATTTTTATGCTAACTGTAAGTTTTAAAGTTCACCAAAGAAAACAAAATAAGTATCTGTCAAGACTGTGTTTAATTTGCCTGTTTCAAACAAAGCTTCAATACACAAATATATTTTGTTCAAGCGCACTTTGGTTGCAAACTTGTACTTCAAGAATCTCTGGTTGCAAACTTATTTGTCAAATATAAAACTGCCAAAGGATTTAACGACTATCATATTGATTAGTCACAGTTATTTCTTAGTCAATGTTATACAGTTATTTCACTGGCTTTTAAATTGTTTTTATATGGTTTTGACATTTTAGTTGTTTTTTTATTTAGTTGTTAATTGTCCCAACTTCTTTCACCACCCTGCTTTTTGTTTGGTGCCCTAATGAGTACCTTTGCGGTAGTCGAGTGTGACAGTGCCAAGATTCAAGATAAGGAGATCTAAAAAATCCCGGCAGATTTCTTCCTTTTTTAATTTGGTTTTTCAGTCTTTCCAAAACTCAAGTAATATGTATAAAATATTACCGTATAACGGTTATTATATTTTATATCATTGCGAGATCAAGAGTTGGTTAACATTGAGTGAATATCAAATGCACTATTTTCAAGTGCGGAAAGCTCAGACTGAAAATAAATAAGGAACTGCTGACACGCGACCGAAAAAACGGCATTTTTGTGCATGCAAAGGGGATGTTGATCGTTTTCATTACCCTTTATGTACAGGCTCAATAAAAACGAGTTTGCAATGTTAGTGCTTCAGAAGGATCGCTTTTTCCAGATATTAATACATTTTTTGTTTTTGCCGAGTAGCATCTAACGCGACAAAGTCTTTTCGTTGCAAAGTCCATGAAGAAAGTTTTATTTATTATGACGCGTTTTCCAACTGAAAAATTCTTTCATTCAGTTTCTATTTTATGTTATTCTTTTTTAAACTTCATCTAAGCTATTCTGATAACTTCCCATTATATTCCATAATTCTTTTCCATTAATGAACTGAGAACGTGCAATTAATAGAAATACGCGAGTGTATTATGTCTGTGAAACAGGAAAAACAAAAGAACAAATGTTTGCAATGCAAAGGACATTACCCCATATAAATCTAGTATTACTTGACTGCCACAAAGGCACTCAGAAGGGCACATAACAAAAGGCAGGAGAGGGAACAGAAGTCGGAATATGGTCATACGAATAAATTATAACTGAAAACTAAATAAAGAACCCCTAAAATGTCAAAGTCATATTAAACAATTTTAAAAGCCGTTGAAATAACACAACCTTATACAACTGTCAAAGAAATGTGACTAATCAAGATCATATTCGTTAAATCCTTTGGCAGTGATACATTTGACGAATAAGTTTGCAACCAGAAATGCTTGAAGTACAAGTTTGCAACCAAAGTGCGCTTGGACAAGATATTTTTGTGTATTAAAAGTTTGTTTGGAGCCTGCAAATTGAAACATTTACACAGTTATGACAGATATTTATTTTGCCTTGTTTGGCAAACTTGAAAACTTACATTTGTGAATAAAAGAGCATAAAAAACCGCCCTGGATTGTCCCTTGTCAAACCTCAAGATATCTACACGACCAGTTTATATCTTCCATAACTTCATCAACTCAAGAGCTAGGAAGCTGAGACCTTAAACCGAGTGTGCTATAAACATTTCTTGAAGGAATAGGCATATTTGAAAAAATCCAAATTTACGTACAAACCCACTTACCTGGAGAAAATGCGCGTGAGTGTTGTGAATATTGATGACAGGGTAGCAATTTTGTCACGTTTGCAACCAAATTTCTCGCTTGAACCAAGTGTGCAACCACTTCACGTCCTGCCCCTCGGTTATTTTGTATGTTTTGTTATTACCAATTATGCTTTTTTACACATTTAAATAAATAATTTGTCAGTGCAGTTATATTATTGCTTACAAATACTGAACTATACCTTCATTAGTAGAAAAACTCCGGCCGCATAAAAGATTTTCATTGTCTGCTTCTTAGATCTATCCTTCGTCAAATGAATATTATTTTTCAAACAAATTTGCTCAAGTTGTCCTTACGAAACGTTTTATATATTCGATCGCCCTTCAAATGACATCATTAAAATCGAATGTAATTTTTTGAGATACGTGTTAAATCTTATTAATTGATATGAGAATATTTCTTTATTTACGTAATATTTACAGTATCTCAGTATGAAACAAAGATAAGACATCTATCTAGCTAATAAACATATTGATAAATACGTGTTTTTAAAGGCTCTTTTACGTCAAAACGTAAATTACCGTTTCCTGTATAGATAGAACCATATTGATCTTTTTATACAGCTGAAAAAAGATAAAGTAAATTATACGAGTACTTACTAGTATTTCAAGGAACAGTAAATTATAAAAAATTGTGTAAGGATGAAAGTTTGGTTTGTTTGGATATTGTGTATGAAAACAAAATATATTTGAAATTTGTGAATAACTACCCAGTCCTCAATGTGACATTTGAGTCCACCAAGTAAAAGACCTATTTCGGCCCCTAAGAAAGTAACACACTTAATGAATCCTGCCTGTTATGACCCTCTGTCAAAGTGTGTGTGAATAATTTTTGTGTCTATCCAGATCAAAGTTATATTAGTTACTGTCTTTGCTCTCGAATGATGTGTGTAATTGTTTCTCTAAATCAAAAATCTAAATCAACTCATATGTCTCCGGATGATTATATTAATAGTGATTTCGTGATTTAGCACATAGTACGATGTAATGATCATAAAGAACTAAATATATGAATTTATACTATACGAGATATAGATTTAGACATGTTCTTTGCTTACTTACAACTAAAAAAGTAACTTTCCAATCTTATTCTGACATAAGACATTAGTACCTAAAAACTTAGATAATGTTGGCTTCCAATATGGTTACATTGATCTCGTTGTATTCATAGAAATATAAATTGTTTGATTTTAATAAACCTGCCAATTGCTGTCAATGCACACAATATATGAATCTCTGATAGTTTCGGTAACTTACGCAGTAAGATGTGATTAATTTGTGTTTATGAAATAGTTACACTGAGCGTTAAAGCGCAATTGGGTAGACTACGGATTTTAAATATTATTTCCAAAATTAATGTTCTATGTTGTAAGATCCATACCGCGTAGGTCGATGCTATTTCTGAATTAATTTTTAACATTATTGAAGCTGTGGTTGATTTTTATGTTGTTCGTTTTGTTTTTAACAAGTTATGCACTAATTTGGCAAAGTCTATACTCTTTTTAAATAGCATGGTTCATTCGGATGTATGTAATGAAATAAAACCACCAGATTTGTTGTTAGTGGAGCATCCTATGACACAGAGCTTATCTTTCCCAATTATCACAAGTGGTATACAATCAAAGTGGCAATTTGAACAATGCACATTATATCTTTTTATATAACTGTTAAAATAGATAGCCAGCATAGAAAATAATTTGTGGCTTTTCATATAATAATTATATCGTTTATAAACATCTCGTGTCCTTGAAAAATGTTTAATAAACAGAAGTTGATGTACACATAATGTTATATTCTTTTAAATCATAAAAAGGTTCAAAGTGTGATGCAGTCATTATTTTTGCTGATTTTGATATTGTCACCATTGTCACATCTTATCTAATTATCATGTTGTTATTTTTGTTTTTCAGTGGCCAATGCTACTCTGATTATGTTGCTCTTCTTCAGTGTAGTTTACTCTACTGTAGTATTTATTATGTCATATTATTTCAGTTATTTGCTGTTGTTTTTTAGATATTGTTAACAGTTGTCCCTGCTTCACTGTAAATGATGCTACTGTTCCTTGTCTTCCTTATGATGTTGACTAGCGACTGAGGTTGTACACTTCCGGGATTTCCTACAATATATATTTAAGTACATATATATCAATTAAACTTTGTTATATACGTTTATCACATACCCGTGCCGATTTTGCGACTCCGTAAAAATGGTATTGCACGGCCGTGCATATATTTTGACGTGACGTCATTTGCGTTATATAAACATAGCGTTAAGACGCGCTAAATGTTAGCGTTATACTATAGGCGCGTCAATGAAAAATGGTTCTTTTTCACTTCAAACGGTCTTTATTTTTGGTATGTGATAAATAGAATATTAAATTCGTGTAAGTTCATTACTGAATTTATTGAACTCGTTGAATAAAATAATATTATGCTCGCCAGAGGCTCGCATAATATAATTTTATTCAACTCGTTCAATAAATTCAGTATTAAACTTACACTCATTCAATATCCCCTATATATGTATTTTAACTACCTATTCAGCAAATAAGCTTGATGTATATTTAACTTTTCAGAAAACTCGGACGTGATGTCTGCAAATCTCTTATTTTTCATTAACGATTTTGATGAGACAAAGCTACCCTGCATTCAAATGGTTGATATAAAATATAAGTATTGCTTCATAACATGTAAACAAAGAAACAGAATCGAAATGGACTTATAAATAAGCTTGCAATCTGTCTGATTGTATGGTATCAGCAGACAGTTACGCTGAACAAACTTATGATAAGTAAAACAAAGTGAGACTTTTTCATTGACAGAATTTTATAATTCATATTTATACTGAATGCATATTTCACGGATTAAACTTAACATTACATTTACCAATTTGAGAAAATTACCTTTTAATAACTAGAAGACCAACCACGAGACATACGAGTAAACACACTGAGCCTACAACCGCTCCTATGATAACATACAAGTTACCAGTGTCAGAACTTCCTGTAAAAAATAGAGAAAAAAGACGAAAATAGGAAAAGAGGTCAAAGTTTCTTAACAATTGACCAGTATTGATTAACACATTACATGTAGTCAGTTTCTAATGATGATCTCTTACTATGATAATGATATTATGTAAATATGATGGCTGATTTGTGTCATGTTGTATTTTCCCTTCCCCGAGCTGCCAGACAAAAATACGGCAAAGTGACCAATTTATCGTACATTTGTTTCACAAGGCGAAAAGGCGAAAACATGATATCGCCACTAAGCACTTATCGTCCGGCGCCTTCGGAGCGAAAATAGGACATGGTACTAATCAGCCACCATATTTAAAAGAATGAACATCGAAATACCAGGTTATCTGATATGTTATTTCTTTATTGTATCAAAGTCAACAAAAACACTTTCCCAGTCGTCACAATATCAAAACCCCCAAAAAATGTAAGCAACATCCATGTAGCCAGTCAACAGTCAGTACGGAAACTGGAGTGCAGGTAACTAATACCTGCATTCCAGTGAACGCATTATAGACTTATGGGTATACGATTTAACTCTGACATATTTTCAATAGAAATGTCCCCAAACTATGATACAATTAAATTTATTATCATTTTGTGATGATTTTTGTGATATGTCATATTTAACATCCTTGAAAACAAAATTACATAGAGAACATATGCTTGTTTTGCGTGAATCTGCTTTAGTCATCGTGCCTTACCAGTACATGTATAAGATCCAGGAACGTTTTCGCAGTGGGTAGAACCATTGCATGGAGTCATTGCGCACTCGTCAATATCTTCTTCACAGTTATCTCCCGTCCATCCTTTTGCGCATGTGCAGTTGTAACTCCCTAGTGTATTCGTGCAATTTGATGAATGTTTACAAGGATTTGTCAAACATTCGTCCACATCAATATTACAGTTAACTCCCTTCCAAGCAGAAAGGCAGTGACAATCAAACGAACCCGGTGTGTTAATGCATGTCGCAGTTTTTGGACATGGATGTCTTCTGCACTCATCTTTGTCAATAGTACAATTTCTACCAAACCATCCAGGAGCACAACGGCATTGCTGACCACTTTCAGAGATAATACCTTAAAATTTTAAAGTCAACATAGAACTTGGTATCTAATATGCATGTATAATATGTATGCACAGTACGATCATTCTACTTTGTTATTCCCTGCGGTCTGGAGACCGCAGGGTATTGGTACGCGTTTAACTTTTGAGGCATGGAGGAGCACGTGACCTGTATTCGGTACTTGGAGGAGCATGTGATCTGTAAACCGTACATGATTGGTTAATTGACCTTTTCGAAAACCTAGCTAAATACCGTTTGCCGGTACTTTACGGATTTACCTGTAGGGAATTAGTCCGAATTACCTAATTAAGAACAAAAAAAACTATTACGTGATATTTCTAATTTCCTATAATTATTTTACCGTTTAAGGTGTAAAAGCTTGAATGATGTGTTTAAAAAATTATCAATGTTTCTTTAATATCTATCTCAAATTTACAAACAATAAATTGTTTATACTGAAAATCTACAAAATTAATATATTCGTAGTGGCATCTGCCATAATAAATAGAGATATTTTCTGCGTAAACTTGTGTGTTTACTTTATTTATTTTTTGCTCGGAATTATTCATAAAATGATAGGCCTATTTAATCATTTTCTTAAAAAGAAATAATTGTCTTATGTTCGACCTTCTCCGGTCTTCAACTGTCACCAGTTTCCAAAGACCTTCTTCTATATTGATCGTTTATCCAATCTGATACAAACGTTTATTTATCTATGGTGGCATATTTTTGCCACCAGATAACGTGATACCTAACTAGTTAATTAAGAGGTTAACTAGTTACGTAACTAGTTAACCTGATAACTAACTAGTTTATAAGAGGTTAACTAGTTACGTAACTAGTTAACCTGCTACCTAACTAGTTAATTAAGAGGTTAACTAGTTACGTAACTAGTTAACCTGATAACTAACTAGTTAATTAAGAGGTTAACTAGTTACGTAACTAGTTAACCTCTTAATTAACTAGTTAGTTATATGGTTATCTGGTGGCAGAAATATGCCACCATATATTTATCCCCCCAAATAATGTTGAAAATAGTTAAATGAAATATCTTTACATCATTAAAAAGTTCACCGCAGGAAACCATTTTACTTGTCATGTTAATGAATGAATGCTTAAATAGCTCATAGTATTGCTCTTATGTACGCCGCTTACTTCGGAAAAGAAGAATAAGGTATCTCCATTTCATTAATATAATATAGCATGTTATGAATTGTAGAGAAAAGTTCTTTTATTGCCTTCAAGAAGTCTAACTGTTAGTGTTAGGAAGTAGATATTTAAGAAAGTATTTGAGCTTACTAGTATTATGCATCACACACACTTCGTTTGGTCGGCACATAGAACTAAAATGAAGATGATAATTTCGAATTACTATTAAGGTTTTTTTCCCTTTATTTATGTCTTTTCTAAAATACCTTGATCATATTTTCATCTTGATTGAAAGTAAAAGATGATATTGTTTAGAAAATTAAGATTTTCTCATTTAGAAACGTCATTTAAACATATTAATGTCATTTTTACGTTTAATGGTAATATATTTTATATTTATGGGTTCAAGACATTACTCATTCAGACAATGATCCTGACACCATGGCCCGAACCATCCCTTGCCACATTCACGTAGAGTGGTTTTATTGTCCTTTATTGAGCAATGATCATTTTCGCCTAGCCAACCTTTGAAACAAACACATCTGTAATAAAGTAATCAATAAACTTGAATTGGATATCACCCACAAGATTAATTTTACAATAAGTTTCGTCGGACAACTAAACTTTTATAACATTACTCTAAAATAAGCAAATAAAGAAGAATTGAAACTGCATTCATTTGTAATTTGACGTTGACTGTTTTGTGAAAATATGTTCCATTATTATGATATCAATATTTCCTTAAGTCTGTAAAGGATAATATCATAACATTATCTGTCATATGTTGCGGTTCGGACCGGAATATCCGTCCCGAGGGGACCCGCCCATTGGGCGGTAACGAGGCTTGCTTGATTGGTGATTTATATTAAATTTATGTGTAAGTATGTGCGTGCATGCGTGTGTGTGCGTTTTTTTTTCTTTTTCTCACTTCCACTGACAAATCAATTACTTGTAACTATCCGGAAAATATGTAGTATAAAAGTTAGACTTTGTGGGAAGGGCTGTTGCTAATGTTGTAATAACTTGTAGCCCAACCCATTTGCACTATACTTATATTTACATTTGTTTCTTTGTTTGTGTGTTATTCATATCTGACATGTATTATATAGTTGCAATAAAATATTATTAAACTAACGAGGCTTGCCGAGTTACCGCCCAAGGGCGGGTTCCCGAGGGACGGATTTTCCGAATCGAACCGCAAACATATGTCAGATATTTTTTCTTGCATATTCTGTCATATTATTTCATATTTAAAATGGTTTACCTCAATATGATATATGTTCATGGATATTAAAGTCATTTCATCCATAACTATTTTCTTACAAAAGCGTATGAACTTACAACTTAAACAACAATGGCGAAATGACGTCATCCTAAGCACATATTTCCCTTTTAAAACAACGTCATTTTAACGCGGTTCATTCATAAAGTGCATGGGTAAAACTCACGGAAACGCCAGTCTCATATGCAACACATTGTTTGTCCCTCATGGTTTCTTGCATAGCAGACTGGCGTTTCCATTAGTTTTACCCATGCCGGAAATTTCATCTGGCATGGGGGGTGCCAGATGAGTCGCATGCCAAACAACACCGTCATTTTAGCACACTTTATGAATAAATAGCGTTAAAATGACGACGTTTTAGAAGGGAAATATGTGCTTAGGATGACGTCATTTCGCCGTTGTTATTTAACATGAAGTAATATGGCAGAAAAAATGCGAGAAAAAATATCTGACATATGCTTGCGATTCGGATTGGAATATCCGTCCCGTAATTTCTTGCATAGCAGACTGGCGTTTCCATGAGTTTTACCCATGCCGGAAATTTCATCTGGCATGGGGGTGCCAGATGAGTCGCCTGCCAAACAACAACGTCATTTTAGCGCACTTTATAAATGAACCGCGTTGAAATGACGTCGTTTTAGAAGGGAAATATGTGCTTAGGATGACGTCATTACGCCGTTGTTATTTAATATGAAGTAATATGGCAGAATATGCAAGACAAAATATCTGACATATGTTTGTGGTTCGGATCGGAATATCCGTCCCTCGGGAACCCGCCCATGGGCGGTAACTCGGCAAGCCTCGTTACCGCCCAACGAGCGGGTCCCCTCGGGACAGATATTCCGGTCCGAACCGCAACATATGACAGATATTATTTTTCTTGTATATCAGACTGGTGTTTCCGTTAGTTGTACAAATGCTGGAAATCTCATCTAGCATGGGGTGCCAGATGAGTCGCGTGCTATACAATGGCGTCATTTTAGCGTATTTTATGTATGAACCTCGTAAAAATGACTTTGATGTAAAAATGATCATTTCTGCGTATTTTAGAACGACGTCATGGATTCGTACGCTATTTTAAGAAGATAGATACCAATGAAATGGCATTAATTTCCATGAAAAAATGATATTTTGAGATAAGGAATTTTAAATATGATGAATATGGTAGAATATGCGAGAAAAAAAATATGCAAGCCTCGTTAACGCCCAATGGGTGCGTCCCCTCGGGACGGATATTCCTATCCGAACCGCAACATATGACCGATTTTAATATTATTCTTTTTAAACGACTAAATGAGTTTCACAAGTTTAGAAGGTTGATTATGTCAGGTTAAAGAAAACGAGTTATCTACTTGTAGCCTCCAATAGAGTTCTGACAATTTCCACGGCGAAAACATGGGTTTCCAAATTTGCATTCATCAAGATCTTCATCACAAGTCGATCCCTAAAATGAAAAGCTGTACATGTGCATTTACATACAATTTCTTATGTACTGTATATATATATAATTAATTGTACTGCATCAATGTTTTAATTTGAGTGCAAGTTTATTAGCTTATTGGTTCGATTTTGCTAGTGAGAATCGCTTTTGCAAGGAAGGGTTAAGAAAAACAGCATGACATCAACTAAATCGAAGTATGTTTCATTGCACGTATCTTCGTACAAATAATCGTGGCTAACAGTAAACACAGTTTTGACATACAAAACTGTTTTTAATATTACAAAAATTAATTTTCTCAAAAATCAATTTTGAATTGCTTGTCTTCAGAGTAGGTATCATGTACGGGTTTTAATTGCTAAACAATGTTAATCATACATGGTAGCGTATTAATGATTTATTCCATAATAATATTAAGTAGTAAACATTAAGAGTAGCTGTGCAACAATTTTGTTAATGATTTCACGTTAATTTGGATTTTACAAACGTTACTTTTACAAAATAATTTACGAGACTCTTAAAAACAATGCGTTTTACATTATTTTTTTCAATGATATCAATGTTATAATACTTCAGATATCTAGAGCAGTTATTTGTCTTGCTTATATTCTGTCATTCATGTAAACCATTCAACAATTTCTCGTCAAACAGAATTTTTCAACATTTACCAGCCTATCATTTACTGTCACCTTCTTTCACCTTCTCTGCTTGATTTGTTACATTATTTCATGTTGTTAATGGACGTTGGTATAATTGGAATGGTATTCTTCCACAAAAAAGAAGGTATCCATGTTTTTAAAATTAGTAAATTACGCATCTGAAATGTTTTTTTCACTTGCAGATGGCTTCTAAAAATCACAATTTTGATACTGTAATTGATATTTAGACGTTTTGACTGTTACAGAGTTCAATGGACACTTACTTTCATGGACGAATACATTTAAACTTATATTGTAATCACAGAAATTAAGTAAACATGAAAACAGGCGTGTCCCGTATCTGGCTGAACTGCCCCGAAAATAGTAAATTTAATTGTGGATTATTCATTCGAGTAATAGGAAATTTTGATTCCAAGTTAACCGGTGTAAACGCAATAATATTAGAGTATATTGTATTAATTGTAAGAAAGCAGATATTGTGACAACTATTTAGTATTTGTCCTTAAATGAATACATTCTGAAAACTTTATAACATTTTCATAGATGTTTTAGTTAAATGGGATATGACTATTCATTCACTTTATATAAAATATTTTACTTTATCTAGATTACTTAACCCTTTCCCTCAAGAGCATATTGTGAAAAATGGCCGTTTTCACTGAAAAGCCTCCTGTTACAAGTTCAAACTGCTATGAAACAATGAAATATGCTTCAATTCTAATCAAACTTGGCACAAATGTTGACTGGACCATTGCCTTTGTAACGACATGCTCAGTCTTAAATTTCCTGTTACCATGGCAACGAGGGGACATCTCAAAATTGCCAAAAATCACTATTTTGCCTCGATTTTTTCCATCAAAATTTCATTCAAAGTGCTGCAACTTCTCAAGGGATTGAGATAGAGTCAAAGGCTTTTCAGCGTTGGTTACACGTTACCTTATGATCGACCTGGGTCATTTTTAGCCTCTCACAAGTCCAAAATTTTCTTGGCGATGAGGGGGACTCCGCCCCCTTCAAACCCCCAAACAGAAGGGGGCACATCCCTGGCAACCCCCTGATGTATCTTTTGGATAGGGGCGGCGCCGAAAAAGTGCTCACTTTTTTAGCAACATTTCTTAAACGAAAACATGTGTTTGGGGCCCAAATAGGACATTTTTTCACTATTTCAGGCCTAAAAAGGGGGGGGGGGGGTCGAAAGTGCGTTGTTTCGCGTATATATGAGGTAAAGGGTTAATATCTGTTTTAAACAAACATACTGTACAGCATTTTGCAGTTTAACTGTAAGATAATAGTAATAAGATTGATGTGTCCCGTAAATGACTAAAGTGAAAAAAAATTATAATTTTATGATTTTCTCAATACAAATGATAATTCTATTAGAAAAAAATATTTGTTTTGATTTGTACTATTGTTATCCTTTACACTAGCTTGGATTTATATGCTTAACTGGCAATTTTGTTGAACTTCTAAGACCACATATACGATCTTTTACTCAATTTTTGACTATTTTCAGTTTAATTGTTTAAATGTTGTTAATATGGCTCAATCTTGCCAAAAGAATAACCGCTCCATTTCATAAATAAATATGTTAATCTTAAATCATTATAAATATATAATTCAAAGTTCTGTCAATCCATAGCATCTGGAGACTGGGTCACTTACTGGACAATTGTAAAATCATTTACGAGTCCTTAATAAATTGTCAATATATGAGATGACGTAAATTATTTTACATTCGACAGTTGAATAATAAATAAGTAGGCAATATCAAGAATTTGTCAGTAATTTTCACATTTTCTTACCCGTCTGTGGATTTTGTAAGGTTATTGAAAATGAGATTTAAGCATATTCGGTATGAAATGCATTTCCATGAGTTGTTTTAAAAAAGATGTTTTTTTGTCAGTTCAATGATTGATTCCCATTCCCAGATGTTCATATATAAAAGGTGATGGAAAGTTTATTCTATAAGAGACAAAATAGAATCGCCATACCATGGACCATTGTCTCGAAAATGACGAAATTTATTTTCTTGCTCTATCTAGAAAATCTATCATAGGGAAAATCTTGGACATCTGTACTGGTAATGTTTTATATTTAAGATGTCGAGATTTTAGAATGGAGTATATTGCATTAATTGTAAGAGAGCAGATCGTCATCTTGGCGCAAAAATACAGTAACTGGCATTTTAAAAATTTTACAGAAGACACAAAAAACTAATTTGTTCATTTTGAGAAAACACTTTGAATAACAGACAATAATGTGAAAATATCATTAATAAGTACCATTTAATTGGTTTTAAGGTTACAATTATTCATTATGTATAAAAAGTAATTAGACATTCTTCTACACTTACAAGACTTTTTGCACTGTTTTTTTAAATGCAAAAAGTGATGTAAGTGCACTTACAAGACTTTTTGCACTGTGTTTTTAAATGCAAAAAGTGATTTAAGTGCACTTACCATACTTTTTGCACTAACTTTTTAAAGTAACTACATTGCATAGACATGTAATGATGTTAATTATAAATAATTCAATTGTTACTTTGGTTTAATGTGCACCATTGTGAATTATGAACCACATTAAATACATTAAACATAAGAATGGAAGTTTAACACTGAAAATTTTAAAATTAATTTAAAATAGCTACAGTAAGTCCAAGGCAGAGTTGTTTTTTTTAATTTCAAAGTGAATGTTAATATTAATCACAACAAAATTACAAGAAAACTACAAATTCGGCTTGATTTAGTCTGCACATGAGCAATAATGAAAGAATGTAACATGCCTCATGCCCCCCTAGCACCGACTTGAGCAGTACTCAATTTTCAACACTTAAAAAGTGCTGCAACCAATGATCTTGAAGGACCAGAATAAACCTAACAACACTGAAGTGGAGTATGGGGCAACTTATTAAACCATGTTTTTGACTTTTGAAAGGGGTATTCAAAGGTCTATATATCAATGTCTTAATAATATCCAACCATCACAGGGATGTAAACTTTGAGATTTTGGATAAATACATAAGGAATCCTGATTTTTTCTATACATTTTGGTTTTATATACATTTTACACTTTTCTTCTCCAACATATCCCAGTGAGATCCTAAACATGACTTCACTGGAATCATGTTGAGAATCTTACAAGCCTTTTCACTTGGAACTTTATTCTGATGATACATTTAGGGTCAATGTTGCACTTTTATATTATCTCTCATGAACAGACTCAATAAAACCCAAGTCTTCAATTTTCATATATATTTTTTGTTTTCATTGCTTCTCCTTTTCAAAATTTGGATATATTCAATTAAATTTGTCTTATTTCCTAGCCTTATACACTATATTACTATCATGGTTTAATAGATTTGATTCTATACTAATCAAGTCATACTATATCAAGTGACAAAAAATTCAGAGTAATTTCTGTGACATAATATGTTTTTTTGTTGTTTTTTTTTGTTGTTTTTTGTTTGTTTGTTTTTTTATCTACAAATGTATGTGCAATTTGTACAATTGTTGAAAAATGTGATTTTCTGTTAATTAAGGGCTTTTACATGCATGACATAGGGAATGAACTGAGTCTTTCATATTTATTGATATGACTACATTCTTTATGTATGAATGTATGGGAGTTGTAGATTTACCACATCAGATGTAACATACTAGAAATTATGATTTTGACCAATATGTTATTGAAACAGATTACATGCCTTTGTCTGCCATGTTTTTATATAGAAATTAAATAGACAAAATAAACCCATGTTAGCAACTATTTCATTCCAAATGTAACACTAAGCCTTATAGTTGAGGAGGCTATAAACAGTGAAACTGCAGATACATTTTTATAATACAGTTGTCCTTATGTAATACAAAAAGAATGTACTTTAAGGCAAGTTTTATCTTTATTTCCATAATAAAACATGTAATTGAGTAAATAATTAAAAAAATACCTAGAGCTGTCATATTTATAAATGATATTAATGTATCGTTGATTTATATTTTTGATCAGTACACATTTTTAAAAATGGATAATTTTGATTTAATAATTGAATATCTAGAAATTGTGAAAATTCACCCAAAACATATGCACAGTGATGACAAAAAAGTGTTAGCAAAAATCATGCAATGGACATTTATTTTGAAACAGGACACATTTATTTATACTGGAAGCATTAAAACAATTATGAAAAAGAATTACAGACAAGTAGTTAATACTTAAAGCATGTAATTATCGATATATAGGTGTATCACCAATATTTTTTTCATCTTCTATTTGCTTTGCACCAAATCAATGACATCTCTCATATTACTTGAATCATTTTTGAAATATCACTAAAATGTGAATACTGAAAAATACTAAAAAATTCCTAGTTATATTAGTTGTTGTCATTTGTGACATGCAGAGATTAAAAAATATTGACAAAAAGAAAGATAAAATAAATAGAAATAAAATTTAAAAAAAAAAACGAAAAAAAAAACCATTTTCTTTAAATGTTTGCTTCCAAATGTAGAATTATATATAAAATTTGTATTTTAGGAATAATTTTGATATTTAATAAAATGCAATAGTGAAATATTTTAATGCAGTAACAATTTTGTAAATAATTGTAAGTGGACTTACTGTAGTTTTTCGCAAACAAATTCTGAAGCTGCACTTACGTTTTTTACTTTAATGCCAAAAAAGTCATTTTTTATCAAAATTCAGCTTCTACACTTCAGAGACTGGTGAAACTTGTATTTCTTACCAAATAATGACAAAAAAGTGATTTTCTCAAAAAAAAAAGTCAGTTACATGACTTTTTGCTCCAAGGTAGCGGGATATGGCGAGAACTACTTAGTATTTGTCTTTAGATGAATACATTCTGAAAACTTTATAACATTTTTTCATAGATGTTTTAGAATTTATATATACAAGAAAGTTCATTTTTCAAGTTAATAAATAAAAACTGTGTAAATAAACGGGCCTTAAACGTCGTTTTGATTAAAAAAATAATAATGTTTAAAATGTGGGCAAAATAAATGATTTATCTTTAAAAATAATAGCCTTAGTGCTGTCTTAAACCGATATAGTATGGAACATCTACTCACTTTAAATCCGCGTTGGCACATACAAAACATGTCTCCATTGCTTCTGTTTTCACACTTAGCATTATTTAAACACGTTAGATTTCCGCAGTAGGTGACGTTAACATATGTTGTTGACATTGGTATGGTAACGTTTGAAGTTGTTAACTAGATTTTAAAACAATAAGCCATTAAAATACTGTTAATAAAAAGATCGATCACGTTAGTTATATCCTAAATAGATTCGTTGATGAAATGTTTACAAGACTTCTTCCTTTATAAATCTGCAAATTTTATGTCGTTTATATAGAAAGACATAAAGACATATGTATGTTATTATTCATAAACTTCATAAAATTTAATTTTGTCCGACTTCACCACTTTCGCCCTTGTTTACACTAAATTAAAATGTGCTTGCTACATTTTCGGGTTAACAGCGACAGACGAACCGTTATATTTTATTTTTGATATAAGATAATTTCACAATTAAAAATAGGAGACAAATAAAACATTATGATATAAACAAATGAACATTCTTACAAGCATGTCTGTACGTAAAGGATAAAATTGTTCATAATTTATCTGATAAAACATTACGTGAAAAAGTTCAACAAAGAGTTTAAAAAAACAGCCATTTCTTTTTTAACTGTCTTATTCTAGAAATATCTAATGAATTTTGAAACATACTGCACTTTGATGGTTCATTTTAAGTTAGAATGCAAACATGTAAATCCCACTTGTTGTGAAGTTTATTCATTACGTTCAAAATACTTAATGCCGGATGAATCATAATAGATATTTAAGAAACGCTTTAAAAATTGAAAGTTTACCTTTAGAAATAAAACTGTTGTTGCAAATAATAAGATATTCATTGTATTTATACAACAGGTCCTTAATACTCACACATTAAGATCTATTTGTGTAAAATGTTAATAAATATATGAAATGTTGTACAAAATAAAAAGTTTTCCCTTTTATCAAATAAACACTCAAAGATTTTCATTTTTAACAAATACATGTACCAGGCCTTTTAATTTCGGAATAAGTGTAAAAACGTGCACATTAAGATGAATAAATTACCCTCTTAATGTAGATCTGTTTTTAACATCTCAGCATGTTACTGCGATAAGGTAGTGCTCATCTTACTTACTAATTGATAAATATATACACTTAAGATTGTATTTGTATGTGCTTTTCACTGAATTCTCACCATGATTTAACGTTTTTGTCTAAATAAAACCACGGGCATAGTTTTTTACCAAAACCGGAAAATTAAATTTTATTCTGTAAGAAGTAGAATATATTTATAACAAATTCGGTGATAAACAAAAATCGTTTTTTTTAAATGTCATATAATATGATATTATGTTTAATCAAGTCATGTTTTTTTCTTAAGTCAAGGAAATGATTGTTTTGCAATTTATTTAAAAACTTTATACAGTTAACCAGGGTCTTTCAAATATTTGCTATAAAAAATGATGCAATGATAATACCTCACTCAATTATTGTTTGCAAGTCAGTAATTAATAACATTTTTTATGTATTTTATGTGACTTCTTTTCTCAAAATCACATCAAGAACTAGCGCATTCATTCTAAAGAAAATCCCGAAAACAAAGAAAAAATATTTGTTGGTCGCATCGGTGAATAATAACAAACATTATTATATAATCTAAAAATAGCTGCAATCTCATTGGTCCAAATTGTAGTCATAAAATCATGTTCACTGGGTGTAGTATCATATTCACTGGCTAAATTGATTTTTCCAGTCTAAAAATAGATTTAGACATACACCATACACTGTTATTTACCCGTGTTAATTAAAAGATCATTGTTGCGTTTTGTTCTTTATGGCATATTTCTCGATTAAAATATCATCACTTTACTATTATACTCAAGATTTCAAGATTTCAAGATTTTATTTCAAAAGGCATAAACATTTTACATTGTCCGTCGCCATAAACAGAATGACGGTTACAAATAGTATATGAGAAAAGTATGTAACTGAATACAAATAATTTTTACATTAACATTCTTATATTGTAAAGAACACATATGCAATGTATTTCAATATATGTTTGTAAATAAAATTATTCTATGTATACCAATATCAGTATTTGAAAACAATCAATCATTCGTTCTATCACGTAATACATTTGCAAAGTAGATATATTTTGATACTCGTAATTACAGTTCCATGCTTAGAATTTTTCATTAAAGATATAAATTTTATCCTTAATTCCCTATAAAATGGACAAACAAGTTAAAAGTGATATTCTGTTTCAATTTCATTTAAATCAACTTGGATAGGACAATGTGGTGAAAGTATATATATCATGTACTATAAAATTTGAAACCAGGGGAAATAGATCATCCGAGCATATAGCATAGTCAATTAAACTATTACCGTTCGTTGACAAATATGTGAAACTTCCGGTCCCGGCATCATCGCCAACTCTCCCGTTTATAATATATAAATTACTGCTTTGAAATATTTCTAATAATCGATTTCCAGATGTATTTACAACAGGGTCCATTGAAAATCTACAAGGGATATTAACAAATCGATAATCATCACCGTCTCTATTTTTATCAGTTACAGAAATAAATTTATCATAGTGCGAACATTTTTGAATTAAATCATTCTTGCCGCCACATCTAGCGTTTACATCGCCAATCACGGCAATTTTTCCTAAAAGAGAGTATTTTCTCACGCCTCTTTCTGATAATAAAAAAAAGCCTTCTTCGTGCATGGTAAAATATATAGAATTACTGGGCGGGATATATATCACTATCTAAATTGAAAAAAAGATTTACACAGTTTAATCCATATAACACCATTATTGTCTATTTCAGCTACTGTAATACCACTTTTTAAATGACTTCTGTAAAATAAACATACACCCCCGTTACCTCTTTTTGAGTTTAAGCTTTCGGGTCGGGGAACTGAAATGCATTCATACCCATCTATTTCGTACACATTATTGATTTTTGCCAAGTTTCACAAAAGAAAACAATATCAAAATTTACAACAAAATTCAAAAAGTCTTCATCACTTGAACAGTTACCTAAACCTTCAATATTCCACGATACAATAGATAAGGCATACTTTTCTCGTCTGCCAAGAGAAAAAAAATGTACCGCCATTCTCGCGCATGCGCACATCACATACTTATAGGCTACTATAAACTTGAATTACTTTTACATGCGCAGCGTTCGAGTAGTCATTGTACGCCTAACACGTGCGTCTTTTTTCCCGCGCTTCAACGAGGCAAAATTTGTATATAAGGTTTTACTTTTTGTGAGGCTATCTTTTCCAAAAGTGCAATATGCCATCTGCCGGTGAATATCACATCATATTCATTAGCTAACTAGTCATTAATTGTATAATATCACGGACAAAAAGTTAAGCGGACATAAAACATCTGCTTTAATTAAATACAACAGGGCTCAGTTCATTGCAGAAGGTGATAGTATGTTATTTATTTGGTCTATGATTCGCCTGTGGCACAGAGCATAACAATTTCAAAAACATAAATTAACAGACTGAAAGGTCACCTAGCTTTCTATCCAGCGATTGGTTGGGAGACAACTCAATATATAAAATAATCATAAAGTAACACATGATTGTCAAAAAAGAAAAAAATCAAACCATTTCAAGCAGTTTTATTTTTACAAGCAGTTTTATTTTTATATTCAACAGGCAAAATGTGTTTTCTTTTACATTAATAATGTAAAGCATACAAGATAAGGTCTAATGTTAACATATTACTATGATAAAATGGAATGGTTAGGTCGGCTTTTTAATCTGTGATACTGATAAGAAATAAGTTGCAGAAACAAATGTAAAAACAAAAGTACAAACACGGGAACATTGGATAATTATATAAAAATTGCTCGTTTGTTGTTCCTATTACTTACTGACTGATCATTTTCATTTGTTTGGGTCGTCAGACCAAACAAATAATGGTAGCGAAATTTCAGAGTCTAATGTTGTTAATTGCAAATGCCGAAAGTAGTCCACTTTTTTGAAGCGGTTACTTCCCTTTTGTATGTACACTAAAGCCGAAAAATTCAGGGGAGATCACTGCGTAAAGATGGTCAAAGACAGGCGCATCAATTTTCAAGCAAAGTAATTCGCGAATGGTCGAAGATTTCTAATATTGTTTTATTGTATTTTCTGATCGAAAATAACTAAATACAAAGCGGACATTCAATCTCTGACACAGAAGTTTACGACAAACCTAACAACAAGTAGTTCTCAAAACAGCTTAAAACTAGCGATTTAAAAGAAAGAAATATTTTATTTTGTTACAAGTATCCAACAAATTACAACGCATTTAAAGTTAAACAATAGCGTTGGCTTATAGAATTGTCAATAAATGCACAATCACAAATTACGCGGATGAATATGATTTTATCAATGAAAATACTATTTTTAGCCATGTCGATTACAGAATACTACACAAACCGAGTAGTGGAATATATAGATTCTACAAGTCGGACTGTTTGGGCGAGAGGATTTTCGCTAAAACATTTACTTCAATTTTAAACAACAGGTTTACCCTGAACAAAATACCTCGAAATTACCCGAACTGCAATGGAAGTTCTAAATTTAGAATGACTTCTTATTATTCAGACTTTCTGTGTATAACTTCTCCGTGGTGCAGTGGTAACGTGCTCGCTTCGTGAGTGAGAGGTCCCGAGTTCGATTCCCAGTCGGGGAAACTTTTTTTTTTTTGTTAAATTCTTTTTTTAAGTGTTTTTGTTAAGGAAGTAGCCATGATATACAAGGATAAAGTGTGGCTGTCGTAAAAAAAGAACATAAATGATTTTTTGATGCAACTCTAGTTATGCAGAATTCCGTATGTATCAAACTCTGGTGCCTTACAAAAGGAATTATAATACATAAAAATAAAGTTATACAGGAAAATGCATACAGATATACAGTACGATTTAGATTGCAAAGATCAGAAAATACCACAGAACTTGCAGCCCTTTGATTCTTTATAAATATACATGCTTATAGTAAGCTCCAGGATTATTTACATCTGTGTTAAACAACAGTTAAAGTCGTTACAAGCCCTAATTTAGAATAATATGGTTTTCTTCATGCCGTTCACATATAAATTCACCGTGGCTGAAGGGTTTTCGGGCTCGCTTAGGAAGCGAGAGGTCTGGAGCTCAAATCCCAGTAAAGGTAACTCATTTTTTTTAAATTGTTAAAGTCAAATAAACATTGGATTGAATATCAGTGTTGCAATTAGTCTTATAGCCAATTTACTACAATTAAAACCTGGAAAGCATTGGTGGCACTAAACATATAATCTCACAACCTGCACCTTTCTTACATTCTGAGACCCAAACAAATTCAGCGCCTTCTGTGCTTTGATTATTTGATAGCATCACTTGATTGTATTCTACATAGGTTGAGAAAATTAGAATAGTAAATTAGAATATAAAATGATGAGAGAAAGGGAAACCGAAAAGTATGTCAGTTTGTTAAATGTACAATAAATGGATACGAGACAAACAGTAAACCCCATTCTTTATAGTGATCATGCATTATTATCGTCACAAAGTAAAGGAAAATATTTTCATTCTTAAAAAAAGTTAAAATAAATATAAATTGCAGAATTCAAGTACTCCAAGCAGAGGCAACCGGTCTGTTACATAGATATTATAACAACTGTACTTTCCTTACGAGTTGGCTATAAAAACAATATATACAAATTAACTTATCTATGCTGACGTAATCTTAACAGAGATGTATATAATAGTGTCACGTTGTGTTTATTTTTGACAAAACGTTTTAAGGCAGCATGCCTCCAGATTCATGCTTATTTTCATGAAAATTTTGAAAATGTATTTAAAAGTAAAATATTGTGTAGTGAACATAGAAAGTAATTTACACATTGTAAATGGCACTTATAACACACGTAAATTACCAAAAAGAGGTCAAAATATACATAAATACCTCTGACAGGGTTAGTAACGCAGTAGAATTATAGTGATTGGTACTGCAAATATAGTCATTAATCGCACAAATGTAAATAATTAATAAGATTTTGACTCTTTTAACTTTTATTAAAATCTTAATACATTTTTCTAAAGACTGAATTTCTTGAAATATTTTCGCTCTTCTGGAGGCGTGCAGCCTTAAATGCATTACACAGGTGTGAGATATCAAACAGTTAAATTAGAATATAAATATGGAGGCCAGCGCTGCCGCTGTCATGATGATCATACTAATGATGTACAAACAAAGAGATTTATCCGGTGTTGGGGTTGAACTGGATGGATTTACGTAGTCATCGTCTAATTTCTTGCCAATACTCCGTCCATTTGACTTCTTAGACATGTCTTTAAGTTTGTATTGTTCTTGAAAATAGAAATGAACCAATTAATGATTTCTCAGTGATGTGATTTTATATGGAGCATTCTTACTGCGTTACACCAAAGTTATTTTTGGAAAAAAAAATACAAAAAAAATTACAAATATCATAATATTATTGATATAGGGACCTGCCATGCTATATGTATAAACTATTTTTTATTATGTTAATTTAGTTTCACTTTAATGCCCTTTTGAAAGCGAAAATTTCATATGTATTGAATGAAATGCGTGTTTAAAGTAAAATTGCATTGCTATGCAAACCAATACTTCAACAATAAGAAAGCTTTATAAAAACCTTCAGTAATTAAAAATAATATCACCAAAATTTGATATAAATGAATCAAAATTTCATAAGAAAAAGTAAATAGTTATTAAAGGAAATGAACATAACTAAAGAAACCTCCAACATGTACTTACCGGAATGGTTGCGTGAAACAAATTTCTTGCTGATTTCAAACCATAGCTCCCACAACACTTGAATACCAACATAAACACCAAGAACAATGTTTGCAAAGTACGTTTGGGGTTGAGGTATTATCTCATTGTTGAAAGCAAAGAAAAATGTCACAGCTGGGTGGATAAAAAATAATTTAAGTGAAATAAATAAACAACAGAAGGATAAATATTATTAAAATGTAATATGCTTGTTTCTTGAAAACTCTGAACACGTAACAGTCAGGCTAAAATAGGATATCTGTAGCTGAGTGGTTAAAGTCGTTGACTTCAAATCACTTGCCCATCACCAATGTGGGTTCGAATCCCGCCTGTGACTTGATTCTTTCATGTGATGAAGGTATTCAGCTACCTTACAGCACATCGGTGATTCTACCCAGAACTAATGCACAGAGGGTGGCCTTCGGTCTCCCTCTAGCAGTAAAGCTGAAAAGTCGCCATAAGACATATTTTGTGTTGTACGCCGTAACACCAAACCAAATATAAACCCCAGGCTAAATGTTTTAGGTTTTTATGAATTATAATATGAATCCTACTTAAATCAGCCCAAATAAAAAAAAGAAAATGATAAATTGATAACCGGAGAATGTATGGCACGTGATCATTCACAATTGTTATCAATTAAAGACTTTGCATTACTGTTTAAATATACAGAATGAATTATATTGTACTAGAAAACGTTCAACATAAATGAAATTATACAGTATGTACCTGCAATGATTATTGTACTCTTCCCTAAGAACCAGTGACCCCAATTAAATATAGTTCTCATTTGAGAGCCTGGTTTCGGTCGTAGCAGACCCATGGCTACTTGTATAGTCGAAGCAGACATCACAGTTATTCCTAAATAACTATGTACTTCTGCGAGCTGAAATGTCCGATATTTGTTCAAATTTACGGTAATGCATCTAATAAACAAAACAAATTAACTGCAGTACAAATTAATTTAGGATCATAACTTTTCGCACTGACACTATTGTTTACATAACCATAACGGATATTTCGATTAAACTTGTAATAGCTGATATAATTGGAAAATAAAATTCTTAATACCTGGCAAATGTGCTTAATAAATTTGATTTTCAAATACAGTATGGTATGATCATTTGCATTTGTGCGCTAAATATCTTTCAAGTAGTTGTCCATCTTTTGATTGGACGAAGCACTCCTCATTTTTTAGGAAAACTTTCAAACAATGACTGGATAGTCAAAACTCCAGCCCATGATCAGGCGGCTAGATGTGCCGGTTTATATGGTCTGCACTGGTCTCAAGGGTAGAATCAATTACTTCCAGTAGTAAGCAAGGAGTTAATGTCACAATAAGTATAATATAAATTACCTCGGTTAACCCGTCGACAACTACAAATATCAAAATGAAACTTGCAACTGTAAGAAGCCATGTTAGAATTGTCAAAGTTCTATGAATCTGAAAATACATTGAAATAATTATTTGAGCAGACTCTTATTCTTATTGTTGTCTTGAAGTTTTCAGACGAATTTACCTTTTTGTCATCTTTTCTCTTTTCTTACATTTTCAAAATATTTGAAACAAATAAAAGTTAGATTCTTTGTAGGCCATTTTTTATGTAGCTTCGCAGTCCTTTATATCAAGAGAAATTATTGCAACTTAATGACTGCGAACACAAATTGCTTGCAAATTGGAAAAAAAAACAATTAAAACTGTACGGATATGCTTGCGTAAAAATGAGCAATATAAATGAACATAAATATAATCTAACCGATAATTTAATGAGCTTTGTAAATAAGAAGCGAAATATATTTTTGAGAACACAGCATCTCACCTGGAACCATATTTTACTTCCACATGCTTCTTTATTCTTAAATCCTTGTTTGAAATGTCTGGCCACGATTGTTGCTAGGCAAACTAACCACATCCAGCCAATCAACATTAAAGCTCCTATTTGTGATATCAAATTATATACAAATTATATACATGTACATCATGTTTTGTCATTTATCCTTATTTTATTGCTTTATTGCAGAAAAGGAAAGCAAGGGGTCACACATATTCAGGGTTAATTCCAAATACAATGACAATTGTATGTTCTAGGTCGTTTACCTGTATAAAAAATATCTAACCATTTTTAATGACTAGCACTCGTATTTTTCTTAGCTGATTGTTAAATGAGACACGCAATTCCTTAAGAAAGCCAAAGACGGTAAAATTAGAAATGTTGCAAGCTCGTTGTGACTAAGCCTGTTCTTGGACGGACGGTACTGGAATGTGAAAGCTACCGCCCATACCCTAGCATTAGCTTAAGCAGAATTCATCATTTAAACATGGAAAAGTGGTCATAAAAAGTAAAAACAAATACAGACGATAGAATTAAAGGAAAGTTAAAGAAAGGAAGTATTTTGATTTCATGCAGAGCAGAGTTATCAGTAATGATTAGGAATAGAATTTACCGACATTATTGTCATCCTCAAATAACAAGGAGCAACACTTTATTTGGCGCTTTTAGTACACATTTAAAGTAGATATCTCGTTCTGAAGACATCGATACTCAAAATAATGAAGAATTAATTTACCATGTGTTTGAGTCAGGAGTGGTAAAGATGATCCTCTGACGATACCATGACTTTGAAAATTCACCTTTTGACTTGATATTAGAGGTAGAACTTTGTGTATTCCCATCACTTCAGTTCCTTTGTTAAAGAAATTGAATTTTTATTCAATGTTATAAAACTATTTGTAAATTTTACATTTGCAAAGGAAATTAATGCGATACCATAACAAATCATTACAAAATTTAATGTATATTCTACTTAGTCTATAAGGGACAGAAACGAATATGAAAATGCATGACTTTGTATACTGTACCGGTCATCTGAATGGGTTAGCTAATGGGCATAGAAAAAATAAAATAATAAGTAAGGATAATAATAACTAAATCAAAATTGTAGTATTGCAATTAGAACAACAGTTTTGAACACACAAAACTCATTTCAAGTAAAAATATGACATTTTATCCAAGGTTAATTGAAATCTGTTTAAGAGCACAACAACAACACTTTAATAATAAGAATATTTTACCATGATAAATTGGACCCCATGCAAGCATCAGATAAAACTCTTCAGACAGGTCATAATAATGCTTTGCTTTATGGCCCTCTCCTATGTAGACAAACATTGACAAAGGACGTTTATATCTGCAGTATAGTCTACCATCACTGTATGTCCCTTGTATATCAAATAAACCGTACTGGGCAGAAAACAAATAAAATGTTAATAAAAAACAGAAAAAAATCATAGATATTCTGGTTAAATCATTATGTAACTTCAGTTACAAAAAGCCTCTAATATCTATATATAATTAAGAAAAGAAATGTATGTAAATATATGAATTGATAAATTCAGCTTGCCTGAATCAATCTAAATAACTCAACCATATAGTTTTATTCAAATCACACTATAGATTAATTTTACATTTTATGCTTAGTGCTGCAATGCCAGTCAAAACCCTTCGCTCTGTTTTCAAATTTCAAGTTGATTACACAAACCTTTAGCTGTCTTTCGTTATAAAGTTCTTCATGGTTGTAACCACGTTGTATCGCATGCTTCGATCCCCCTGTAGTGCAGGTGATTGTTTCATCATTACCCTGTAGTATACGATGACATGGTATATATAATAATCAGACATAAAATATAAAGTTAATTAGCCTTGGCTTATTGTCTTGTAGACCATTTATTACTTTATCTATTGTACACTTGTATATATTTATCGTCTTTTATTAAAAGTTGCAGGAAAAGCTATCTTAACAACTGTTGTAACCTTAGGGTCGAAAGTTATGAAGTATGAAACAAAAATATGTATAGATATGTAGATACTAGTAGGTGTTTAGAAAAGAATGCAAGTTTCAAAGACCCCCACACGTACAAAAAAGAACTAACAAAAGACCGCTTTTCTATAAGGACACAACTAATTTGGGGAAAGGGTAGACATCTTTGATAGATCGATACATTTAAAAACAAACATTAGTTTTAAGATATATCTGTACATTAAAATACGGTAGATCGAGACTAACGAAGCTTAGTCACAGTGTCAGCTTTTCATTTTAGTAATCAATATAAATGCATCTAGGGACAAAATTCAGATCAAATATATTCTATCGCATGTTTGTCAACAGAAAAACTATCAGGAACGTAACATTCTGGTGAACTCAATCTGGTTATCTTAAGTCTTATATGTAACAGCAAACAAGAAACATTCATTACCGATCCCACATATCTATCTAAAATGATGGTTACAGTTTTCAAAGAAAAATGTCCATAATTTGTTATTGAGTACTTGTTTTAAAACCTCGTTGACAGACCAATACACAGCATATGGAAATTTCTGGCTTACCATATGAACATCTTCAGAAAATCCGACAGAAACGTAACCTTCTTGTGAACCAAACATCTCAAATTCCACCGTGTCATTTGTTGTCTTAAATGTTACTGCAGCATAACAGTCATGACCCGAGCATGTTCTTGGATACAAGAAACATCCTTTACTGTTCCCGCACGCCGACCAGTCAATTATCTCAAATGTTGGTGACAGCTGTAAAATCATTTGGGGTATTCAATATTTCACTTAAAATAAAAATACCGTATCAATAGAAATATTAATGATATCAAATGACATTAATTTCAAATCAGTATTTTGAAAATTAATAAGTGTTGTTGCTTTATACAAATGTTCTAATTTGCAATGTGGAGTAACTCATTTCATCTATACATCTCATTCGAATTCATTCATAATGTGTCATCGGTCAAATTACTCATGTTTGGTCTTATATATTGCAGACTTTATTTTTGTTATCGTAATTTACATTCAAATACCATCAAGGTTCAATATGAAATGTTATAATAATTAGTATGTTTGAAATATACTACTTCAAATAGTTAATATGAAACAACAAAATGAAGAGAAAAGAAAGTATGAAAAAATCGAAACAGTTACTTCTTCAGTTGGTGGTTCATCTACTATTTCAACTGCTGACAGTTCTACAATCTCGTCTACCCAGAATATTGTAAATTCTTCAACAAAGCTAATGCTGTTATAACCAAATATGAAAAAAGAAGAAATAAATCAACTTGTGTCCTTATTACTTTACTGAATGTCTTATAAAGACAGAGAGACGTTTTTTCACACAATAAGAAAAAGTATATTAAAAATGATAAGAAGAATTGTTGCTAATGCAAGTCATATAAACATGATAAATAATGTATTAATAACGAAGAACATTTATATTAAGAAAACTACTTTAAGTTACCAGATTATACAAAAATTGTGCTACATGTTCTCGGAATCATGCGCATTTTATTTGTAATAGTTTTTGGCTGAAAACATAAACAACTAATGTTGAAACATTTTTGATCAGATAAACTAAATTGATCTGTCCTAAATGTAACTCTGACTTAAATATAAATCTCCATTGTTACACGCTGACGTTAGCCCGAAACACGCTAAAATTAGCATTTGGAGCTTTAGATATTGAGCTGAAGTGCCATTAGAACATTAGGTCAAACAGACCCCATATCAAAAACAAATAAAAACTTCTAAAACAACGACGTGAGCATGCGACGTGGCCTAAAATTGGGTTCGATTTAGTTCAAATTTTTACTTAGAAAATCACTGTTATAGACTTTAAGAATGATAAGTTCATCCGAAACTTTACCAAAATTGGGAAAAAACGTTTGTGTGATTATGGAATGAGAGATTCAGGGAAGGTTGGACGTTTAAAGTTTATAGAACACGATAAAAGAGCAGTAAAGAACATGTTTAAATCATCGGTTGAACACAGAACATTTGTCGCTCACATTTATGATAGGTACTTATTCTTTTATTTTCTTCAATATTTGAAGAGCATAACATATTATTGAATCATTTTTTTTGTATTCACCGTGTGTGTATGCTTAGATTAAAATGTTTTAGCGCAGTTACCCTTATTGAACAGATCTCGTATATACTCACACAAATTCTATATCACCAACTGATACATTCGGGGCTGTCCATGTTAGGTCTATGTAAGGGACAGGTGCATTATTGCGGTGGGTAATCATATTCTGAAAGAAATAAAGGCAAATTCAAGTTTTGCTGCAAAATTAGATATTTTAAGTAAACACTGTATTGTATTTTCTATTATTTGGCACACGAATGTTGCTAAATTTAATTTTAAAATTTACAAATGCTTTTAATACTTGGAATGTTGATCGATAATTGGGTTGTTGATTGATAAATAAAGAGAAACATTTCGTACAACAAAGTCTTTACAGCAGCTTTAGACTTCATTACTCTATATACCAAATAAATCTACTTCAATTTAAATGATATTGAATATATTATGTGGATATGGTTGCATAATACAAGTTTATCTAAATTTTAACCTTACTGTAGACATGTATACTTAAATTGAAAATACGATACAACTGCTGACAAATAAAAGATTCCTATGATGACATTACCTTCACTCCACCAAGACAATCTAGAGTTTGTATTTTGTTTGCTGGCCAATCTATGAACCGACCCACTATTTTCTCCGTATCTCCGTATTTCGGCCGTGCACGAATCATAATTCCCTTGATCGTATTGCCGGGTATACTAGCAGATATATTAACTGTGAAAAATGAAAAGTGATTAAGCTAATTAGTCCAATATATATTTTTATAAGGTCTTTTAACCTCAAATTAGTGAGTTGAATGAAATGCGCTATCAGTGCAAACATTTTCTTAATACAAAAAAAAATGTATAATATGTGCTAAATTATTCGTCACCTTATATATAATATATATATATATATATATATATATATATATATATATATATATATATATATATATATATATATATATATATATATATATGTGTGTGTGTGTGTGTGTGTGTGTGTGTGTGTGTGTGTGTGTGTGTGTGTGTATTCTAGTAATAACAGAATTGATGTAGAGCTGTATATTATTAAATATGTAAGAACAATTTTGACAATAAGAGAAATGAAACAAAAACAAGGTGTTATTATAGGGAACCTCAATTTCAAACAAACAGAGCTACTGTTATTATTCTATATTACCAACAACATATAAAGGTGCTCTAATAATAAATGCATTCATGATATTTTTCTAAGTAGCTGCTAATAAATATATCAAAGATAACGTTATACAGAAATGAGTTTGTGTTTACTAACCTCTTATGTACATTTACAACAGGGAATATTCATTAAGTATGTTTTCATTATCCGCGATACGAGTAAAATATGCCATACAATAGTTATTAAATGATTCACGTTGGTATGAATAAGTGCAGTAAAAAGTATTAATGAGTCGTTCATCAATACGTATACATTATAATACATGCCAAAATTAACGATGAACATTTACGTTCACTTAAAAAATATCATTTTCGAATATATAAGAAAGGTAATATGTTACGTTGTAATATATCTGAGGGAGAATAAGTTGATGTATTTGGTGTCAGTTTGAAAGGACAAGGCGACGGTTGACGTTGTGTTCCACTGTGTTTAGGAAACATAGTAAGACACGTGTCCCATGGTGCTCCGGACGGAAATCCATGAACTGAAAAAATAAGATAAGATAGCGAATAAATGGTACATGTATACGTATATGCTATAAAACATATAAAGTGTTTTGTTTTAATGTTGCTAGTATTAGAATCCATAAGATTTTACCAACAAGTATAATTGCAGTGTAAACGACTGATACTGTAATTATCTTAGAACAAACTACTAGTATTGATGACTTATCTGTACAATATTATAGATATTTATGTATTGTCCAGGTCAAGCAAATATAACTGGCAAGACGAACTTGTTTGGTATGAGATAAAACACAACACTTAGGTTGAATGAAATAGGGCATTTATTAAATGCCATAAATGACAAATGTTACATAGTAACAAACATGGCATGTACATATTTGCATCGAAATAACCAAACTGGGAGGTAAAAAACGCCAAAAAGGGAACCTTCCGCCTTATAAGGAGGCATTGTACTTCACAATTTAAAGATGATGGCTGAAGATAATATACAAGGGTCAAGTGTTTATCAAGAAGAGTTTATACATTACCTACCTCTGCGTGATATTATTCAAACTAGTGACTTTAACATACTAAAACATCTAGATTGTGCTTGTTAGTAATAACAACAAATCTACACAATTCCTATCATTATCATCAGTACCAATCAGTTACAAGAAGCCGATTTTGTATAATTTGAACAAGGCATTTGATCAATTTGGCCCATTTTTCCTCAGGAATGCTTTCATTTTTTATTTCTCAAAAGCTTTTTAATTTTGATGAACTTCTTTAGTATCCCCCAAAACTACTCATTGGCCAATTACCTAAACCATATGTTTTCATATGTTGCTTTTTGGCAATAAGTACTAGTGAATTAGTATTTTGTATGAAAGTCAAAATACTACTCTGTTTATATTTTCTTACTGACAAATTATTTCAATTTTATTGTTACTAACTTCAGGTAACAAACATTTTACTTTCTCTAAAACCATAATTAAAACATAAAATGTTTCTTTTTTCGAAAGAAGTAAACACTTATTTGTTTCTTTGGCATAATATGCTTTAAATAAGTTTATCAAAAACCATTGAACAACTAATAAAATCAAACATGTACATGTACTTTGAAGTTGATTCTCCGTTAAATAGTGTACTGGTCATTCTACTATAATAAAATGTGACTGTTAAAGGGAATGATTAATAATGGATGACTCTTAATGGCTATCAAAAGAAAACTTAATACAGAAATATAACTGGTTTTTTCTATTTTGTTAAACTTTTATTATATACAATTGATAAAAATGCTTATAAATCTTTTTTATGAACCGCCACGCGAGGAATAACAAACTATCAAATTGTGTTTAATGGCCATACCATACTATAAGGTATGGCCTCTGTTTATTGTTTTAACCAACAATACTTAAACATGTGCAAAGAATAGTACATACATCAATATTATGCAAATTAATACAATATAGAAAATACACATGTAGGAATAATAATTAATCGAGTTCTACTATAATAGTAAGAAATGTGAGGGTTTCGTAAGAAAAACTTAATCGAGTTCTACTATAATAGTAAGAAATGTGAGGGTTTCGTAAGAAAAACGCACTGAAACATGTGCAAAGAATAGGACATACATTAATATTATGCAAATTAATACAATATAGAAAATACACATGTAGAATTAATAATAAATCGAATTCTACTATAACAGTAATAAATGCGAAGGGTTCATAAGAAAAACACCCCTTACATAATCATTAACATTACAAGTGTTACAGAAAGTATTGCATGTATAAAAAAGTAAATACTGCCTATCTTTCTAACAATCACTGAAATATGTGGGTTACACTGAGACCCTTAAAATTTTGTTGTGGTGAAGGGGGTGGAGGAGGGTAAAATTTTTGCTTCCTCTTTCTACGCTTCTTAGTAATTGCTAACTGGTTCAAGACGATTTTATGTAGGGCTATTATCCGTTCAGCCGTCTCTACGAACGGCTAAAACCCGTACCTCCCGTGGCGGCGCATAAAGTTCGCTGATGCTTTTCGGCATAGCTCATATTTATGAACCGCCACGCGAGGAATAACAAACTATCAATTGTGTTTAATGGCCATACCATACTATAAGGTATGGCCTCTGTTTATTGTTTTAACCAACAATACTTAAACATGTGCAAAAGAATAGTACATACATCAATATTATGCAAATTAATACAATATAGAAAATACACATGTAGGAATAATAATTAATCGAGTTCTACTATAATAGTAAGAAATGTGAGGGTTTCGTAAGAAAAACGCCATAAAAGCTAGAATTAGACTAGCTTTTCCCCACATTTCACTGCATAGGAGAGAAGACCAAGGTTAATGATCTTGAAACTTTAACCAATAAAGGGCTTATTTAACAGAGAATTCCCGAAGGTATAAAAATTGGTTAATGGTATTATTATTATTTTTTTTTTTTTTTTTTTTTTTTAACTGAAGCTAACCAACCTATGATATTTAATGAAATAATAATCAAACATATCATTTGTCACAAGCCCCAGCAAGTGACCCGAATACATATACACGCAATATAAAAATACACTTACTATCACTATTAGTATTGTTCTTGAAAAACCAAGAATGTTAAAATTAGAGTCACTATAAACAGATCTTATCTTATCTCATCTTATCAATGTATATTTATCACAAACTGTTCTTAAGTAAACATGAAGTTCAAAATAAAGTTAGGATTAACGTGTTATTTATACATAGTTTATTATCACTCTTGTGCGTTAAACTACAAAAACATTTTGATTTGTTAAACTGATAAACTAAATTCAATATATAAGCTATAATTAACATTTAAGCAATACATAGTTAACATATACTTCAATATGTTAAATTAGTCTAACTGTGATTTAATTTATTAAGACATTTTATTCCTTAAGTGAATGCATAGTTCGAAAAGAACATACAAACTTTATGTAATTGTTAATTCAATTTACAAGTTAAAATTAACATTTAAACACTACATATTTAACATACACCCAAATATGTTAAACTAATATCTTAACAAGTACTGTCTCATAACAACATATTTATTAGGTACAGGATGCATAGTTCGAAAATAAAATGCAATATAATTTTATAATTAATGTATACATTATAATTAATATTTAAACAACACATACATGTAGTTAATATACACCCCCATATGTTAAACTAGTGTCGTAAACTGGGATTATCGTAATGCTCACATATTCACTCTATTAGATTAAAATCTATTAACTTGTAAATCGTTAATGCATAAATCTTGACAATGTTGTCAAATTAAATCAATTTCAACCAAAAAGTTTTATCTTTCATTCTAGCATCTCATTTTTAACATACACAATGATGCATCAAATTAGAAATGTGTTATAGACACAATATTACTGTGTTACATACGTAGTCAATTTAGGGAATGTTTTAACGTCAATAACGCATATTATTGCTAACATACTTAGAATATATCACAATATGTTTAAATGGTGTCGTAAATAAAACATTTCTAAAATTTATAAAGAAACTCGTGATTAAATGAATAACATAAAATGTAAATAACACTTTCGACGTTAATAATAAACACACGCTAGGATTGTAATTTTTCATAATCGTTACCATTTTATAAATTCAATTGTACTGAATTAAATGAATATAATTCTTTAAATGCTTCAGAAGTAAGTTTCAGATTGATAAGTCTAACAAATGGACCTATTAAATGCCTATAAAATCATCCATACGATTTGTTACATGTGGTATTAATTAACACAGGTACTTAAACTACGCTACACTACAGTGATATTGATTACCCATCAACTAACATTGCATGTGTTCAATAGTACTATCAGCAGTGTTATGTAATATTGTAATGATTATCATTTCTGCATTGCAGGCAGGCAATGGTATATGCTAAATTATGTAAATTATCAGACTTGCATGTAACTTGTAGCCGATATCGCAACGAGAACTTCCAACAAATAATTAATATTACAAAAAAAAATCATTTGTTGAAATTTAACTAAATTGTTATTATGTTATTATGACAATCAGTCACTAT